TATATCTGACCATTTTACTTTAACGTGCCTAGCTATAAGTTGCATATCTTTATGGGGCCTATCATTCTTGTTTGATGATTTAACTTGATTATATGGCCTAGGATAGTGAGTAGGAATCTTAGCTTGATCATAATCTTTTAGCTTTTCATACTCTCTAGGTCTATTGTAACCTCTTGGCTGATTATATTCTCTAGGCTGATTATAGTCTCAAAGCTTATTTTCCTCATAGCTAGGTGGATAGTCTAAAAAATTACCCATAGGGGGATAATCCCAATGGTTATCTTGCCTTTTAGCATATAGGTATTCATGTTTGATGCTTTGATTCCTAAAAAGGAAGAAATTTTAATCATATCTATAGCCATTATAATTGAGCTAGGAGATTGTGAATATGAAGATCCTAAAATTGATATAAAGATTAGCAAAAATTTATTATTCAGAACTCTCATTGATAGTGGCTCAAACGTTAATATTCTAGAAGAGAGTATTTGCAAAGAATTAGGCCTAAGTCTAATTCAACTAGTCTTATTTAATGTACGAATGGTAGATGACTAAAGCATCAGGCCCATTAAAATTATTAGAAATGTTTTAACCAATGTGGTTAAGATAAAATACAAACTCAATTATATTATGTTTAAAATGACATGACGAGATTCTACCTATAAAACCTTACTAGACACACTTGGCTAAAAATTACTTGTATAAACCAAGACTGGAAAAATAGTTTTTTGTGTATAGAGTAGATCAACCAAAAAAGATCTGTACCCATTACTTCTACTATACAATTGGAAAAGAAAAATCAACCCCTCAAAATTCAAAATTCAATTTTATGATTGGGAGGAAGGTCTAGATGATTTCCAAAAACAACAAATCTTATAAGATTTCCCTAAAGCTGAGTTAATTTCAAAAGTTGATCTCTATTCAATACTCAAAGAAGTACCTAAGCAAAAAGTTTCTAGATCAAAAATTGGTATTGCTATAAAAGATTTCTCTGTAAAAGAGGATCTTGCCTATAAAATTAATCAATAGAGAAACTATGTTTCACATGTTTTTTTATGATCAACCACTTAAGTAAATCAATTTAGTAGATGAGAATAATTCTCATACTATCACAATGCTTAAAGATTGCACATTGAATTTCATAATCAACCCATAAATTTACTAAAATACTACAAGGACATTTTTGCTTAGTCTTACATAAATTTAAAAGGCATCCCACTAGAACTTTGTACACACCGTATTGAGATACTCTTGGGAAATATATTAAAATGCAAATTCCCTATAGAATGAATTCTAATTATCAAGGTAAAGTTAAGGAAAAAATCAATAAACTTTTTCAAGTATGATGCATCTATCTAATCCAGAATACCTAATAACTTTCACCACTTGTAAAATGGTAAATTACGAGTTTGTATGAATTATAAAAAGCTAAATGATGTAACAAAAAAAAAAATGTTCCCTATTCCTTTCACAGATAAAATTTTGAATTTAGTAGTAGGTCATGAGATGTATTCATTTTTAAATAAATTCTTTCGTTATAATCAGGTGAAAATAGCACATAAAGATCAATACAAAATGGCTTTATAAGTTTATGGGGAGCTTATGCCTATTGCAAAATGTTTTTTAGCCTATGTAATACTCTTTTTACATTTCAAAAAGCTATTACGAACACTTTCAAAGAATATCTCACTAGTTCTATAGTACTATGGTATATTTGTATGGTACATTTACACTTGGCCGAATGAGCATAAAGATGGAATTTCTAAGTGTCTATTTAGCCAAGCATACTTGGCCTCGGCTTTTTAATTCTCTTTTGCTTTGTCTTGCACTAGCTTGACAAGAACCCTCGCATTTTCATGGATGATTTTAGTATCTTTAGCTTCAAAAGGAAACATTTAGTTTACTTGCAAAAATATAGAGAATATAGCATTTCTTTTAATCTAGAGAAATGTACTTTCTTTGTAAATTCAGGCATATTTTTAGGCATATTGTATGTAAAGAAGGTATCATTGTAGACAAAAACAAAACCCAAGTGATTGAAATAATGTTTCCACCATACGATTTAAAAAGTTTTCATTGCTTTTTAGGCAAAGTTAGCTATCACAAGCAATTTATAAAAGTTTATATAAAAATTGTCAAACCACTTACTAATCTTTTAAAAAGAAATACTTCATTTATATAGAACAAAATTGTCAAGAAGCATTTCTAAGGCTTAAAAAATGCCTTAAAAAGGCACTTATACTTATTAAACCCGATTGGACATAGAAATTTCACTTACAGGTGGATATTTTTTATATTGCCATAGGTGTAATATTATCCTAGACACAAGATGATCAAAAGATCATCCTATTTATTATACTAGCAGACACTTATATCCTGCTAAGCATAACTACACAACTATTGAAAATGAAACCTTAGGTGTAGTTTATGCTTTACAAAAATTTAGGCATTATTTTTTGGCAACAAAAATAATTGTCTTTATAGGCTCTTTTATATCTCATTAACAAACCATGTATATTTGCTTGACTAACTAAATGGTTTTTACTATTACAAGAATATAATCTTCAAATAATACATTGACATAAAAAATTCCATGAATAGGCCGATTGCCTAAATTGCATCATTACAAAAGAATCATATAATACTAAAGTAGAAAAACTCTCAGATGCTCATTTATTTGCAATTTCATACCTAACACTTAGTTGGAAAACAATAATTCACTAAAAATAAAAAATTTGTTTATTAATGGAACATTAAAGAGATGTGTTCATATATATGAAGAAAGAAATAAAATCCTAAAGGAAACTTACTCAAACCTATTAAAAGGCCATCTTGCAAATGAAATATTGTGAAGAAAATTTTACAAGTAGAGTTATGCTTTATTTCGTTAAAGTGGGACTTATTCAGTAAAGTGGGACATTAATTAGCATGTGTCCACATGCCATTTCCTAGTACTTAATTAATATTTATTAATATTTCTATCAGTTTTTTAATTTATTTTTTTATATTTCACAATATTATAACACAAAATCATATGAAAAGTTTTTAATTTATAAATTATAAAGTTAAAACTTTAATTTTTTATTGTTGTTATAAAAATGGCATGTGGCCACACACCATAAGTGGGATAATGAAAAGTCCCACTTTAACGAAATAAAGCATAGTTATGATGGCCTACACTTTTATCTTAAATAGTCAAACTGGTTAACATAAAAATGAATATAGAGCTAAATAATTAAGGCACAGAGTTTTTATCAATACTGAGAAATTAAATCTTCTCTTCCCCAAAGAACTCAAGAATCTCAATACACCTTTCAAGATCTCTTGGGAGAAAGTTTTTCTACAAACAGATGATGCGGCCCAATCTACACAACGGTTTACCACTAGGCCAGATGGAGTAAGAGTGAATGTATTGCTAATCAAGAATTCTCTGCTTTCAAGAGATGGTCTTCAATGAGATTCTAAAAGTGTGCGAATGGAAGTTCATGAGTATGGTGTATTCCAGCTCAACTGTAGCAAAGAGGAGTCTTTAGCATCATTAAAGGCACTGCAAAGATCACACCATTTGATACCTATGAATCAACTAAGGGGTAACAATGACAATCAACCAAGGGGTCCAAGGGGTGGGAGTGGCAATGAACCAGAGGGTGGTGATCAACCAGAACTTGGGGTTGACAATCAACCTGATGGTGACCATGATCAACCAAGAAGGGGCAATCGGCAACATATAGTATCATCTAGTAGCAGTGGAGACAAGGAGCAGCCAATCTGGAGGAGGCAGCCAATCAGATGGATCTTGTTGGAGATGAGCGAGGAAGAAGAGAGAGCTGTGATACCGCTGCCTGTGACGAGTGCTATTGTTTGGAGGTGGCTAATAGTCTCAACAGGCAGCAGTGGCGAAGATCAATCATTCTTAGAGGCACATGAAGCAGTAGTAGCGATATCCGACGATGCTGCACAAGATTTGGCGAATTTTGTGAGTTGTTTTTTCATTGAAATCCCAAAAGTACTAACAATTGAAGTTGGAAGGCTTTTGAAGCAGCAGTGACTAGCGACGCAGCACAAGCAGTGGTTGCTTTTGGAAGTTACTTTCCTTAAATTCCTGATGACTTACAGTTTGCGTTTGAAGGCCTCGGAGGAAGTTTGAGGGCCTCAACAGCTGCAAGCCGAAACTTTTCCCTCTGTACGTATTAGATTTTTGTCAACGCAGCTGAGGGTCTAGATAGAGTGAGTTGATGTGCTGAAATTTCTAACTTGTTCTTTCTGACGACAGGAACCTCGCTCGTAATAAAACTTGTGCACCTTTGTCTCAAAGCTGGTGCCAACTTGCGGGTCATCTACCAGTATCCAACGATGGTATTTTTACCTCGACTTCTTCTTTGGCTTGAGAGGAGAAGATTATCGTCGTCATGCAAAGATTTTGAATACGATTTTGGTGCGGATTCCGTTGTCTCTCTCCAATGCTAATGCCAGTGTGAGGTCAGTACTCTTCAATTTTCCTTAGTCTTTTTTCTTCCGCGACGAAGAACTCCTAATCATGTGGTTGCAGGCAGGACAAGTCTCGTGCTCCTGGCTGCACCTAGCGATGGAAGAAGCCATCCACAAATAAAGCGAAAATGTATAGAAAAATGAGTGGAGAGAATAGGAAAAATGCTATGGCCTGGTCGGCTGGGAAGACATCACACACAGAGAGAATGGCAATGCCTCTGAAAGAAAGAGTCTCTCCCACTGGAGGTGTGCTGTGATCCAGATCCCGGGAGTTTGCTTGTTGGATCGAGCAAAGTTTCGAAAAGACAGAAACACTTTGATCCATCTTGCTCGTCGCAATCTCTGAGTATATATGACTCGACTGTTCCTCATTGCTCTCCAGATATCTGTGTTTATGGAAAAGAGCTCTTTTCCTGTTTCATATATCATCCTTGCTCGATCTCTAGACAGTTTTTAGTCTTCGACTCTCGAAAAAGTTTTCTCTTTTTCGACAAATGGAAGTATAAGAATTTTTTTGTCAAGGTTTTAGGGCTCTGTATGATGATGCCAGAATGAGGCTTGCGGAGGGCGATTGAGGTCTGATATTTTTTGCTACTCTCTCCAGCACGCAGATCCGGTGGATTGCTATAGATTGTAAGTTGTTTTTCTTTTTCAAAACTTTGTTTTGGTCCCAATCGTTGCTGCTGTTGGTATAGCGGAGATCCCTGTGATTTAGAGTTACTTGCCATGATAGGAAGACAAGAATTACGGGAATGTATGGGTAAACCTCTCTTTTTTCTAGATGCACGCTAAGTTTTTCTCTGTTTCTTTCTTTTGTAGAACGCTGATCAACACGAGATTGAGCGGTAGCTTGCCGGAATCTAACAGGCCTCCAGCTCTTGTAAATTTCATTTAGATCGAAGCCTGATAGCCTCAAGTATCTTTGGATATACAAAATCAAGTAACTGGTAATTGTGCTAGGAATCTGCAAACCTGTGGTTTCAACGGGAGTATTCTCTTATTTCTGTAAGTCAAGATATTCCCATTGTTTCCTTTTGGTGTCTAAACAGATCTGCGAACTTATGTTTCTAGAGCTTTGAACGGAAACTTTCTGGATGGAAGGATTCCCCCAACTGTTGGCGAGCTCCCAGTGATCTCGTTTGACGGCACGGGCTTTGACAACATGACAGTATTAAGACACATGTACGACTTTTGCGACGACTGCGTACCATATGGCTTAATTGTTTTTCTCCAGGCATCTCAACAACAACAATCTTTCCGGTGCGATTCCGACTGCGCTGTCTACGACACCAAAACTATTTCACCTGTACATCTTTATTAGATTTTGCGAGTCGCCACTGCTCATGATATCTGTTCTCTTCGCCTTCGTGACAGACTGCTGGAAAAAAACAACTTTCCAGGAGCCATACCTCCAGAAATCGGCAGCTTGCTACAGCTGAGAATCTTGTGAGAGTTCTCTCTTTTTCTTTCTTTAGAGTTGATTGAGCTGCAGATTCTAACTTTTGTAAACTGACAACAACAGGAGACGCGATAATAATAAACTTGAGGGCCCCCGTACCTGAAACCACCAGTCGCCTGGCTTTCCTCGAGCTGTATGATGATTGTCTTACGCTAACTGATGAATATCTGCAGACATTTGACCATTACTCTACTTGTTGGGAACTTGCCAGACTTCTGCTTTGCAAAATCTACAGCTCATGTGAGTTGCTCTTGGTTTTTCTTCTAATAGGCCTCTGATACCAACGATCAGGTTAATCAATAGTTTTCCAAGGGAAACCTTGTCAGACAGATTCCAACGGGGCTCTCCTGCCTTGAGGCGCCGTAAAAGTTTCAAAGACAAGAATGTTTCCTTGTGACTCTAACCTGCAGGTTTCTGGAGAACCGCTTGAATGGTGGCATCGGCCGCGAGTGATTGGAACTGGTTTCGGTGGAAGAATCTGTGCCAATCACAGACGGTCAGGTAAGAGTATGGATACGCACAAACTTTTTTCGTAAGTGGCCTTTGGCTGAGATACTACTCTTGTACATGTCTTACAGGAAGTTCTGTTTGCAACGACAACAATCCTGACAAGTTTGTGAGAGTGATAGAATATAGAAACCTTCAATCGGTGCGGTATAACGAGAAAACTTTGCTACCAGCTTCTTTGCCGAGAAGAATGAAGTGGTAAAGTCTATTCTGCATATCAGTGGATATGCGCTATACAATTCATCACTCCATTCTTCTTAGACAGGGTTGACAACGATACGGGGCAACATTCCTCGGCACTTCACACTACTCTGGGCGACTTATAGCTTCGTCATGACGAACGCAAACCATCCATAAACAGGTCCTTTTCTTCTTCGTTTTTTTGTTTTCGTCCTGGAATGCTAGTGTTCTTTTCTTTATTTTCCTCAGGTGATAGCCAAACAAACAAGTTTATGTTTGTTGCACTCTCTGCATCTACGTCGGAGTTTCAGTTGCGATAGCGGGTCTCTGTATCTTTTTTCTCGTTATGAACAGAAAGCGGACGAGGAGCCCATGGTGAAAGCTGACTTTCTCATTTTTCTTTTTCTCCTTTGGTTTCAGCAGCTTTGGGAAGATTTCTCCCAAGTTCAAAGGTGGCTTAAGAAACTTCTCCAGCCACCACTTGATTGGTGTCGGTGGCGATAGCAAGGTACGGAGCCTTCCTTCTCTTACAAAATGCGTGGAGTGGGAGTTGAATTAAAAAAGGAGAAAAATGGGTTACAGGTATACAAAGGACAGCTGCACACAGGATCAGAAGTTGTGGCAATCAAGCGAGCCCAGAAAGAATATCTACAAGGCGTCGAAGAATTCCGACCTGAGATCGAGCTGTTTTCACGCTTGCACCACAAGAATCTGGTGAACCTCATCGGCTTTTGTACAGATGATGGAGAACAGATGCTCGCGTACCGGACTTTTAAGAGACCATCTCTAGGGTAAGTGCTGCTTCTCTTCACTTTGCATTTCTTGGTTGGGAATAAGTTGTATAGACTGACAAGACAGCCTCTAATGCTGCAGAGCAAGCTCTCAACTGAAAGACACGTTTCTCCATCGCACTTGGCTCTGCAAAAGGGAAATACCTTCACGAGCTGGCGGATCCTCGCATTATCCACTGAAACATCAAATCCTCCAACATTTTACTGGACAAGAACTTGGTGGCCAAAGTCGCGGGCTTGGGCCGCTCAAAGCTGGCGCCAACTTGTAGCGACAAGACATATACCAGTATCCAAGTGAAGAAACTCTGGTATGTCTACTTTTCTACATCTATCAGCAAAGAGCGATGTCTACAGCTTTGGAGTGGTGCTCATCAAGAAGCAGCCGATTGTTCATCGTGAAGGAGATCAAGGAGTCGCTCCCCTGGGGTGGTGTTGCCTTGCTGCTCTCTTTCATGGACAATCCGGCTGTGCATGGAAGATTCTGACCACAAGATGAGAGCTTGAGGAGATGATCAAGCTGCAAGAGGTGCATGGCTGATCACGAACAGAACTGTGACAGTGACGGGAACGAGGCAGCCGAATAGAGCAGCTTCAACGTTGGTCTTGAATCTGAAGTGTTCAGCGATGAGCTCCCAAGCTTTCGCTTTTACGGCAGCTGAGGAGGGAAAAAGGCGAGCCGGATTGGACCACCGGTGTACAGTGGAGGATTAAAACGGGGAGGAGGAGATATCGCGACAGTGGAGAAGAATAAAATACTCGAGGAGAAGAAGATCATCACCGTCACCAAGCTGGCTTGCTGAGGAGAGATTTGGGAAGAACTTCCAAGCGACTGGTGCGGATTCCTTTCATCTTTAGGATGGTACACTACTGCAAAATGCCAGTGTGAGGTCAGTACTCTTCAAACTTTCCTTTTTTCTTCTTCCGCGATGGAGAGCTACTTCTAATCATGTAGAGAGGTCTGGTTGCAGGCAGGAGGCTGGCGCCAAGCATCGTGCTCCTGGCTGCGAGCGTGAACCACAAAGAAAACGAAAAAAGAAAGTATAGAAAACAGGAAGAAAGATCCAACACTATGGCCCGGAAGGGAAAATATCACCAGCTTTGGTGCGTCGGCTGGAATGACATCATGCACGAGCTCGTTTGGCGACGTCACGTACTCGCCGGGAAGAGATGGGAGCGATGAAAAGATCGGCTGCGAGCTTTGTCTCCAAAGGACGAGCGAGAGAGAGACGAGAGAACTGCGGCTCCATCTTTTCATCAATGCGAGACCGAAAAGAAAGAAAGGATTGGAAGATGGATCACTCCAACCTTGAGACACTGAACTGGACGAGCAGGGAAAGGAGAGCTTGACAATGCTGTGATGCACATCCTGGGAGTTTGCTTTTGTTGGATCTAGCAAAGTTTCGAAGTTTGCGTTGCGGATAGAAACTCTTTGATCCATCTCGCTCGTCGCAATCAGTACATGACTCAACTGCTACTTGATGGTTCCTTTTTTTTTCCTTCGCGCTCTCTAGCGTGATCGTATGCCCATCATTTGAGCTGTTAGCTAGCTGCTTGCTGCTCATCTGTCAAGCTATCACTCCAAAATAAAAAATCTCTAAAAAAATTAAAATATCGTGAAGAATCAAGGGAAAAGTTCCAAGAAAAAAAGGGACTCTGATATTTCTTATCTTTTTTTCCTACTTTTTTTCTTCTTCTACTATAGCACCGAGAGAAAGAAGTACTTAAGCTCTTAACGCACGCTTAAGAAGGTAGAAAAAAAGTAATAAAGTAGCAAGCAAGAGGTACTTCTATAAGCGATCCTTCCTTTCCAGCAAATTTCCAGAGCTTGTGTAGCTACGATTGTGATGGAAGCTTGCTCTCCAGATATATGTGTTTATGGAAGAGAGCTTTTGATATACCATCTTGCTCGATCTCTTCTCTCTGTCAAACAAAGCTGGAGGAAAAGCCCAGTTTTGATCTTCGATCCCTCGTCCAGATCGAGGAAGAACCAAGCCTGACGATCGAATCTGTAAGTGAGCTTTAGTGTCTTTGCTCCTCTCCAGCCAGCCAAGTAAAGAAAAATATAAAAAGCAGCCATAAACTTCGCCTCGTTGTCCATCCACCCTGTTCTAGCTATGGATGATGATTTAGTGTTGCATTGGATCTCTTCGTTATCTTCTCTTGTTTTTTGTCTCGAACCGTCAGTGCTTTGGAGGCCCTGTCTTGTTGGGAGGGCACTGGTAGCACTTTGCGAAGAGGCCGAAAGTATCAATCTGGTGGACGAAGTTCGTCACGCTCGCCCAGCCTCCAAATCCCACTCCAATCACCGCAATCCACACCACGATGAAGAAGTTTACCAGGTATACCAGCGTCCAGCTCGGGAGAAAAAATGGTGGCTTCTCGACAGAATTCTGGCAAGCCAAAACAAAAAACGTGTTAGCAACAGCACAATCTCACGAAGATCTAGAGAAACAAGCAGATCTTTGGCACTCGAAAAAGCAAAGGAGATGAGAAGTGAGAAGAAAAAGTGTTAGCTCTCACGAAAATCTAGAGAAACAAGCAAGAAAAATAATCTCATCTCCGGCACTCAAAAGGAAACGAGGAGTGGAAGAACTTCCAGAAAAACGAGATTTTGCGAGAAACTTACCGCCCTGGCGAAGGCTGTTCTATACGTGATCATGTGTGCGAGCGAGGGGATGATATAGACAGTGAAGGTGACGAGGAGCGCCCCGACCGCGGAGTTGATTGGGCCGAAGAATGGAAAGATGATGGCCAAAAACCAAATGGGGAGCACCACGGGGACTCTGGCCAGCGCTCGCACGGGGAGATTGGCCGTCTTGTGAATGCCCAGAATCTTCTCCCACACGATGTACAGCGGCGTGCATGCGAATCCAAACGTGATGAACTGTTTTCCATCGCGAGAATCGAGGAATCAGAAGAAAGAAAAACTTGGCAAACTTTCCTCTTTCTTTCTTCTCGGGAAGAAGAAGAAGAAGAAGTAAAGAAGAGCTCGAGGAAAGAAAAAAGCTTGCCTGATGGATGAGCATGAGAACGACGGCGATGTCACGGAAGGCGTTCTTGGGAAGAAGAGCAAGCGCGTTGGATTTCGTCAAGAGATTGTCACCGAAAGCCCAGTAGACTGCCGTGGCGGACGGGAGTGTCAAGGTGAAGACGTAGATGGTAGCGACGAGATAGACCCACTTGAACTTTTGGGGCTTCCACATCGCGTGCATGATCTCCCTGGGAAGATCAAAGTTTATGAGAAAAGATGACAACATAGCCTATCGATCCATGCAAGAACAGCGAAAGAAGCGAAAGCTTACACAGTCACCGCATGGCCTCCAAATGTATAGAGTATGTTTGTGGCTCCAGTGAAGTAGAGCACCAGTTTGCTCGCTCCAGTGTGCTTGACATTGTCCGCCTATGGCAGGAGTTCCAAGAGATTAGCAAAGATCGAAAGAGCTCTCGTGATAGTGACAGAGCTCACGAAACTATACTCGCCCCCCTCCCTCCACTCACACTTCCGTGTTGTGGGGAGAAAGGAGAGAACGAATAGCGCGAGAGAGAGGAAGACAAGACAAAGTGGGAATTTGGGAGATTTTTCTTTGTTCTTCTTCTCTACCTGGCCGTGGACGATCGCAGCGATGGTCATGTACCAGGCCGTGTAAGTGGTCATCCCCAAGCCGAGGAAGGACCACACTCGATAGTTGTGAAAAGACGGGATGAGCACTGTTGTCATGCAGCAAGCACCGAAGATATATGTCCATGTCCGCTTGGACAAAGAATCGTTGATGTAATAGATGTTGCTGCAAGAGAAAACAAGCGAGCCCAAGAGCTTCAAATCAGAAACAGTCCTTTGAAAGGGAACTTAGAAGAGGATACATCCCACAAACACCAGATGCCGCAGCAAGGCATTTGCTGGGATATCGACGTACCTCGCACAGGCGATGAGCTGAATCACGGAGCCAAAGAGCAAGAAGGTGCAGTTAAAACCGAATCCTATCGCTTTCCAGTAAGGCCCGAGCAAGCCATCCAAGACCTCGAACCACTGCAACAAGAGAAACCATCGCTCGCGACTCAAGAACACCAAAGATGGAAAAGATGGAAAAGATGGAGAAAGATCGATCTTTGCTTCTTGCTTCTTACCTGGATGATGTGGTTCTTGAAGCTCACATTCTCCTTCTCCTTGCGATTGCGGTACTCGACGTAGAGCCAACTGATGAGATAGGCGGTCCAGGCCCCGAGCAGGCCATAGAAGATCTGGAAGACAATGCCCGACGCGAATCCCAGCTGCGAGAAGGAGTATGGCAGCGTGAGCAGCACTTGAGCCACCTGGAAATCACCACAGAAGAAACCGTGAGGCGAAGATCACAAGCACAACAACGAAGAAGAGGAAGAAAAAAAAAAGTCCCAAAACTCTGTTTGTCCTCACACAGGGCAATCAATCAATCAATCAAGCCGAGGACTTTGCCAGCACGCAACGATGGCTGTTCTTGCTGGCTATGGCCGCCAGGGAGGAGAGAAAATATCACGCCCACTCTTGTCTTCCTCCACCAAATCCATGGCGGACGCATTAAATGAGGAAGAGAGGATGTAAGATCGAAGAGGAGAGATTTCTAGAGCAATGCATTGGATCGATCTATCCACCTGATTGGAAGCGCAGCTAAACCAGGCATCGTAGACGCTGCCCCCGTGCCAAAAGAGAGCTTTGATTCCCTGGACTCTGTTCTGGTTGTTCTCCACGAGACCATCTTGCTCCTTTCGATCCAACTCCATCTCGGTGTAGTTGCCTACCATCTCTTCCTTGCCTTCCACCACCATGGCTCCAACTCGCGCGAAGAAGATCCAACGAAACAAATGTAGCTCTGTTCTTGGAAGAAGAAGACCAATGTGGGCTCGAGATCGCGGCTCCAAGGCGAGAATTTGGCGACTTGGGCTGGCAGGAATGCGTGGCGAGAGGCGAAATCCGGGGCCTCGGCGTGAGATTGGGAGCGATCCACACGATTCACAAGCTGTGCTTGGAGTGTCTGTGTAGTGTGGAGCAGCGAAAAGATGGAGAGAATGGAGAAAAAGGGGGGATGGAATCAAGAGAGAGTAGGAAGAGGGGCCGCACAGGCAATACCATCATAGCGCACTACTACAACCATCTCTCCTCTTCTTCTTCTTCTCTCCCTTTTGCGGCGAGAATCTTTCCCTCTTTTCTCCCTCCCCTGCGCGAGGAAAGCAAGAAAGAATGAATGCTCTGTTTTCTGGGAGAGGAGGGGAGATAAATCGATCGCGATTGGAATGCGAGTGGATCCGGAGCACGAGAGATCGGGAAGCGAGGTGGAAGCAAGCCCGTAAAAGCTGGGAGTCGCGAAAAACTGGCAAGCAATTCGTGGAATGGATGGAAGAATTGATCGAAGCTTTCGCTCTCAATGTTCTTCCATGGGAGGAGATATGGATGACGAGAAAAGAGAGAATGGAGAGCCCTTTCCCTCCTCTTCCTCTTCTTCTTCTCCTTTCTTCTTTCTCTCTGCACAGATGCCTAGGCGATGGATTTATTTGCACAAACTCTCTCCTCCTCCTGTCTAGCTATGGATTACAAAACAAAGAGAGAAATAAGGACACCGCCCCTGCCAGGGACCCAGTGTGAACGCACTTAGGGCAAACCCACACTTACCACCTTTTCTTCCTTGATTAGGGCACCCCCATTAGTGACTAACCCTCCCCCCGTTTTCGTTTTTCGTTGGTTGGTTTGCCTTCTCTCGTGCCGAGGTGGGGGCATTCATTGCAATACCCAAAGTTTGCCCCACACGAGCGTGCCATTTAATATAAAGGAGAAAGCTCCCATTCTTCTTCTTCTTCTTCCTTTATTTAATTTCTATTTCCGCTAAAATAATATTGTTTTCTATATATCTCTTCACATACGCATACATAGCCATTCATACGCCATGCATTAAAAAAACAAAACAGAAAAATTGATTAAAAAACATTGAAATAGGGTGAGGTGTGAACGAGGTATCTGGAATCTACTGGAATCCGACAAGCTTTCATCCAAGTGCCAAGGAGGCCAGTCATTGCCCATATCCCCTGCATTGGCATTTGCTGCTACTTGACAGAGGCATGCCACCACCACCGCCCTTTCCCCTTCTTTCTTGGCATGCCATCTTTTCTGTGTGCCAGGCATCATACTAATCAATTAGAAATCTAAAAACACATTAATATCAATAATCAATACTATACTCATACACTATTCTATCCTGTTATCGATAATTTTTCTAATGTTTGTTCGTATCTATACGCCCGACAAGCTAGCCGACAAAAGCGACGATTCCAACAACAAATGCCCACGCTGGGTAAATTTGCTGACCACCTTTTTTACCCTCTCAAGTAACGCACAGAAGGGAAGAGGCACTTTTTTTTTTCACTTTTGGGGCCTTCCTTGCGGCAGTCGCATTGTAAGAGCTCTGGGTGTGTGTTGCGTTTGTGGATGGCCACTCACCGCGCGGGTGTACGGCACCCAGTGATCGCGGGGTACGGACCCCACATCGTACGCGCTCATACGGTGCTTAGCTTTGGGATCTTAGTTAGATCTGGCGGTCAACGCAACACAAACGATGCGATGCCACGGCCGGATTTGGCAGACCACCTCCATTTCGTCCTTTCGCCAAACTTGTCAGCGAGGAGTGTGTTCCTACATATGCGTTTACACTACCGTATATGCGTACGCCATCGTCAAGCGTATGTGTGGACCGCATGACGCCATGCCAGGATTCCCCACATGGAAAGGAAAGATTCCCGTCGGAGAATAATGTGTGCGATGGGGATGACCTAGTCATATATACCAATGTTCTCCGTACTTGGTCACGTACAGTGTGATTTATATACTTGGTTCGTGGTGATTGATGTAGCTTAAACTCCAAGCGTGCTGGAATTGAATTGTTGTTTTGTTCAGGTGCCTTTGATCCCACGGAACTGGAGACTGGATCGAGGACACACGGGCAAAGTTATCATGGTCTTTGCCAAGCGTGGGCATTTGCCTAGATAACGGCAAATTAAATGGCTTGATCGAGCAAACTTGGGGGCAAACTTGACGTAGTTAAGTGACGATCAAGCTGCTGCTGCTGCTGCTGCTGAAGTTAAAAAAATCCGCGGAACGAGATTCCTTGACCAATCTAAGTTTCTAAGAATGGAAATTGGAAGGGGTTGATTGACCAAGTTTAAGCAAATGCAGGGTGGCGAGAAAAATATAACTGATCCCGTGTGGATCCGCTGTAGATTCTTGAAGCTTTCAAACTTATCCTCGCCTCAATCAATCATCACAATCTGGGGCACAGCATGGGAGGGAGACCTAAACAATGGAAGAAAAAGCGGATTATACAACCCCACCACCCAATCCAAAACGCCACCACCGCAAGCAATCCCACATCATTGGGACCGGAAAATGCCAAGCGGATGGGATTCGAACCCGGCCTGGCACGCCGAGCAAGCATCCTGACCGTCGGATCTGGACGAGATGGAACCGTTGGCATGTCACGTGCGGGGCTCACGCGCGCATGCGCATGCATCATGGCATGGCTGGCATGCATGCATGGCAGATGTGACACGTGGCATGGATGATGCATGCACACGTCATTTTTTAAAATGTATTTTAGGGTTAGGGCTAACACCGTCAGCTTACTGGTAAAAGTAAATCCTGGTAGGAGTCAAAAGCGAGCACTTGCGGATTGGAATCAATCAAGAACACTGAGAATTGTCAATGCTTATATCCGCGAAGATTGTTTTGCTTTACAATTGTTTTTCAAAGGGGTGTCAGTACAAGCACAAGTTTCATTGCGAATGCAGTGAACAAAACCCCTCCTCCGCTGCTAAAGTTCTATCCTCCACTCAAAGGGGGCGGGCCAAAGCTTCCATTGATTCACATTTGCCCTTTCATTTGGGCGTGATTGGACTACATTCCTTGCTCCAAATGAGAACCATGTCACGGACATTCTCGCCTAGAGATCTCTACACCGCCCCTCCCCAGGAATCTTTGGGGCATCTCAAGAAATCAAAACCTGGTGGTGGATTTGGAAGCCAGCAGCACACCACACAATAGAGCACCACCACATTTGTACCAAAGCAATCAACAAGCACAGGAGGAGGAAAAATTGCCACCTTTTGCAATATATCTTGTTTCTTGGGGCCTTGTGTGAAACCGTTTGGGCTGCCAACTTGCTCTTTTATGATCAAGAAATGTTGAGCTTGTGGATGTTGTTGTACAGCTGGAAATAAGAGTGTCATAAGTGGGTGTAGATCCCTCCATTGTTTCAGATGAAAATTGCAGCTTGGATTGTTGGAGGAGAGTTTTCAGCCCCACATGAGAGAGGGGCTTGAATCTTTTCAAGTTTTTCAAATATACATGCTAGTTTTTGAAAATAAAGAAAAAAGAGTAAATGTAAGGAATATGGTGAAAGACACCTTTCACTCATTAAAATTTCTATCTTTTGAGGCCCAGTGTGTGATTGTAAAAGAAGAGAGAAATGAAAAGGAAGAGATTGGGGTGTGGCATGCTTTTGTTTGTTTTTTCAGTGGGATGGTCACTTCCAACCAATAGTTGTTGTTTTATGTTATTTATATAGTGGCTTGCACCATAAAAGAAGTGAGTGTGACCTTGTGTTTTTCCCCACACTGGTGCAAGATTGGAAGAAGCTGCAAAACAAGGAGCTCTCAACAAGAAAAGAGAGATGTTGATAGTAACAAAGAGCAAACCTGATCAAATTAATATCAAATCAGAGCTTCCTTCGCTTTCACCATAAAGCCCAAGGTACTTAATTCCAATCCTTTTTCTTGTTTCATGGAGCAAAACAAACATCACGAAACAACAAATCTGGGTTTTGTTTGGACACTTTGGTCTGTTTCACTGGAAAGCAAATGATCATTGTCGCATGCCTGCCTAAGCAACAAAACTAAACAAAAACAGGTCTGGCCGGTTTTCATAGTCAATACAGTAATAATAGTAATAATAATAAAAATAAGCACTCAACCAACAAGCTAATGATAATATAGTTCTCCCATGATTGCCTCTTGCATTTGGTGATCCTCTTGTTATTTGTTATAGTATTATTGGCTCTATTATCTTTTTTTTTAGTTATAAGCTAACAATCGAGAAAATTCCCCCATGCGTGATAATAATCATCAGAGCAACTATCGTTACTATGCTATGATGAATTTGAGCACTAAACTCCTGAAGTGAGTGAGATGGAAGTTCACGTATTTTGCTTGCTGCCAGCTTCGAGGGATCAGCTGGAATTGCACAAATAAGCATCCCCGATTCATAACAGGAGCAATAAGAATCTAGATTTGTTTCACACCTTTGTGCTCCGTGACGTAGTGGTGGAGCTGGGCAATTGGACCGCCATCAATCCCAGCAGCATTAACATCTTGTGGAGAGCAAAAGCAAGCAAGAGGCTCTTGCGGTTTAACACACCCAAGAAAGAGAACAGCTAAAAAAGTGTAAGAAACTCAACCTGGTCTTGTTTTGTGATGCCCAACAACCAAAAGATTCCTCTCATACAATCTCCAAAGCAGTCATAGATTGTGTTGTCTTTGAATGAAAACAAAATACAACGAATCCAAACACCAAACCAAATTATAATCAATATTAATTTATACTAATTAATAATGGTAAAAAGGAAACTGTGCATGTTGTTGCTCTTGACGTATCACCAGCATGGAAAAATCCAGTACGGTTTAGTTTAGAGCGCCGTAAGTGTCAAGGTTTTCCACGTAGAAGTTTTTCCCCTTGCTTTGCCGTTTGTCAGATAGCTCTTGCTCTAAAGTTGCTACAACAACCAAGAACACGAGTTCAAACGAAGCTCTCGAGTGTTATAAAATTAAACAATCGTTTCTTCTTCATTCCAATGTGTTAAAATCGTTCCCTCCTAGATCCAATGTGCTATAATCGTCTCCCCGCGTATTATAACAAAGCATGGCACATGAAAGCCTTGAATATAAAACACCATGTTGGTGGTGTTGTCGCTGTATGCTTGTTTGTGTGGTTTTCATACTTTTTGCCCCTCTCCTGATGATAGCAACTCAAGCAAAGGTTTTTTGTGCTTCTCCGGTTTCTTCTGGATTTGGCGTGGCCGTGCGTGGTTGACCGGACCAACCCGGGATGGTTTGACCGCCGCCACCTTTTCTTCCATCTCCTCTCCACACTTCTATTTTCTTTTGTTTGGAGAGTTTTACTTGGCAAGGATCCATCCCATCCCTTCCAAAACTCGTCTCTTTGATGAAGGGGATATCTCTTTGAGGCCAACACTCCAAGCTTTCCAGCTAGCCAAGAAGTGTATTGGTTGGGAGGGACACATCAACCGTAGGATAAAGATGCAAAGATTGGAGGCCTGAAAATTTCGACTTTTTCTATTAAGTTGATCTAATATATATATATATATATATATATATATATATATATATAAAATTATTAGTTGAAATGCCGATTGGGTATAGGCCGGGCCAAATACGTATTTCTTGCGTGGATGATGTCAAGTTTGCAAGAAATAGCACATGAGATAACATGCACGAGAACACTAAGATAAAGGGTGGCGACGTGACTTCTTATCGGGTAAAATCCAACTAAAATCCCAGAGACAATGCCAGGTAGCACGTGAACTTCTAATCTAATCAAAATACATTATTATTGATTACTATTCTCAAATGTTTTATTAATATCAATGGCAAATCTTACTGCCCAAGGCAAGATTTCACTGCGTATAATGTTCGTCGGGATTGAATACTAAAACCCGGGGGCGTGTTTGTTTTTGTTTGGAGCGAGCTGACAAAGACGAGCATCCAAAAGATAGCGAAAGATTTGCCGCTAAGGTGTTGATGGATGGCTTTGCACCATCCACATGCCTGTGCTATTTTGTCCCGGGGCCTCTTTTTTTCATATGCATGGTCTCGAATGATTGAGAGAGCTCCTCCCTCTCTTTCAGTGTGTGAATCCAAAGCATCTTCCAGTACGCCATAGCCATGTAGCGGCAGCACTACGAGGCAAAAGCTCGGGGTCAAAATCCTCCAAAACAAGCCCACCTCCACCACCTAGAAACAACGCAAATCTCGCCACTGCCAAGCCGGGATGAGTGAATAAAAAGAAGTGTAACGAGCGCGATATAAAAGCTGGGAAAAGAGGGAATGGTGTGTGCGTACCTTTGGCGCAGTAGCGTCAGGAGAGAGGCAGCACGGCTCTCTGGATTGGAACCGAGAGCTTCCCTTTCTTTCTTTTCGAGGAAGTTATCCTTCTTTCTCGAGAAGAAAAGAAGGGAGAGCTTCTCATCTTCGTCCCGCCGATTGAGTCGTTCTTCCCCGCGTGAGCCACCACCTGACTGACTGCTTCGCGAGTTTTTTATAAGGCCACCCCCGAATTTTTAATGCCGCGCCGATGGTACGCTTTCTCCCTTGTCTCAACCAATGCTCTTTCGGGTACGCCGGTCAATTGTCACACTGCAATGACAATCATGTGCTTCGCAAAGGCGATGGCGTCGTTGCGTGCTTGCTTGCTTTGCTTTGGCTCTGGTAGAAAAAGAAAAACTCGTCGTCGTAGCGGACTATAACTTTGGCCCCTCCTCCAGCTCATCTCGTGTCACGTCCTTCAAACAGTATCGCCCAAGTTCTTTTCCTCCTGTTCCTGTGCCTCCTGTTCTTCTTTTTTCCTTCGTTTTCCTAGAAAAGCTTTTGTGCCGATCGATCCACTTCTTCCTGTTGCTGGCTGGCTGTGCTCACCATCTTTATTGCCGAAGAACTTGTCCATATCAGTCCCCCAAGTCTCTGATGATTGCATTGAAAGTAAAACACCACACATCTCGATTCGAATGGAATGGCTCCCTCAAAACATTGATACCTGCAGTCAGTGTTACACCAAAGAAGTTGACTGTGAATATCAGGCCAGACCTCTTTGGTTAGTCACGACGCAGGCTTTTCAGGGCCTTTAGTAGAGGCCTTGGGAGTGGAGCCTTTTTGCTGCTGCTGCTGCTGCTTACTCGTCGAAGGCAGTGGTCTTAGAATCGCCCAAGCACGATGTCTTTCGGATTGCGGACCTTGTTCCAGCTTTGATACATCCTTAAGCTGCATATCGGAGTCTCAGAAAAGCCAAAACGAAATCAAGGATGAGGAAGTACTATACCAGTTCGATGAGTCGATCGATGAGCTTCAATGCTTTGGGATCTGACCTGACTGGACCTTCGTCGTCCTTGACTGGTTTATTCGGGAGCTTGACAACAAACTGGATAAAAGAGTAGCTTAGCAGCGTTTTTCCAACGTAGAAAAGAAAAAAAAAAAAGCTTGCACCTTCAAGCGATGACCTCGCTGGATAAGTTTCGATGCCATGTCTGCTTTCATCTCAAGGTCTCTCTCCTCCTGAAAAGCTCATAGATGAAACGAAGAACCATGGAACGTGGAAAACTCACGATCTTAGAAGTCACTTGAAGCTCTTTCAGGTCACTCAGCCTTCGAGACTCCAACTGCATTGCAAATAAGTTAGCAAGCCAAGAGAAATGGAAGGAAGATCGCTACGTACATTCGTCTTCTTGCGTTCTTTCTCCCTGACTTTTTCCTTGTACTTCTCCTTCTTGTAGTCCATAAGTTTGCAGACAACCGGTTCCTTGGATGGATCAACCTGTTCGTGAAAAATTCTGGTTTCATGGAAGATCAAACAATGCAGTACCTCGACCAAGTCTAGTCCCTGCTTCTCAGCAAGGCCGAGCGCTTCCTCTCTCGTTACTACTTTGTGACCTGAGAGAAAACCACAGAATCGTGAAAAAAGTTCTTTAGTTCTTCCAGGAAACCCGAAACACATAAACTAAAAAAAAATCGAATACCTTCTGAATCGACAAGGCGAATGAAGCGATCGGCGATGGCTCTGTTCATCCGGGGTCCCTTTGGAGCATTCGGCCGTGCGCGAGGATCGCCGATAATGTCATCGTCATCGTCTTTCTTCGTCTGCGCAAGGAAAAAATTCATTCTTGGGAGGAGAGGAGCGCGCTTGCTTACATTTCTAGCGTAGCTCCTGGAGAAGAGGAGATCGCCGCTCCATCGCCATTGCAAGTCCTGATCGCTCCTCTCAATCGCACCGGCCGCTCGCCGCGCCGTACAAGAAGAAGCGCGAAGAACAAGACGACGCCATAGCGCCATAGCTAGGGTTTAAGTTAGGGTTCTTCCAAAATGTACAAGAGCCAGCTCCAAGAATTCGCGCAGAAATCCGGCTGGACGGTGCCGCAGTACGATTCCATCAAGCAAGGCCTGCCCCATCTTCCGCGATTCCAAGCTTCGGTCGAGGTGAATGGCGTCAAGTACGAGTCCGAGGATGGATTTCCCAATCTCAAGGCCGCCGAGCACAGCGCCGCCAAGAAGGCGCTGGATTCGCTCACTGGCGGCGCCAATGGCGCTTCCACCGATGCCTCTGGCTCCTCCATGGTACGATCGCGTAGCTTGCATTCTCTTTCTCTTCTCATGGTTCTTTCTTTTCTTCGTGCTTGTTCTTGGGTGTTCTAAAGACCGGGCTTTGCAAGAATGTGCTCCAAGAGTACGCGCAAAGGAATGGCTTCTCTCTTCCAATCTACCAAATTGAGATCACTGGGCCGAGCCACAATTCAGTGTTTGCAGCGACTGTGGAGATCGGTGGAGTTTTGTACAAGGGTGGTACTGCCAAGAGCAAGAAAGAGGCCGAGGTGAAAGCCGCAAGAACAGCGATTCTTGCGATCAAAGAACTTGCAGGTAAGGAATGCTTCTCTTTTCTTGTATCTCTCATCTCATCTCTCTCATTCTTTTCGTTTTCTCTCAGAGGCCGCTCCTTCAGACGATTACGTTCCACCACAGTCTGGAAAAAAGCGAGTGAGAGCTGCCAAGAACAAGATCGAGAAAGAATCACCACGACGCAAACCACGGGTGTGAGAGATCTCGAGGCAGCAAAGCTGGTAACTCAAACCTCTATTTTGTGTCTTTGTATTTGTAGCGATTACCTCGATGAAGAACTGGAACTATTCGTGTTTAGAGCGAGCACAAGGTCTGATGAGAATCTATTCCTTCGCATTTCTTCCTCACTTAGCAGCTTCTGGAGCTCTTTTGTTGCCGCAGTGAGTCGGGCCTCATCCACAAACGGTAGCTTCACGACTCCTTTCCAGGCCTTCTTCGATCCGGTGTAGTCGACTTCGAAAGCTCCCGGGTAGAAATCAGCGATGAGAGAGGCTGGATCGAGCATTAGCTTCTGGTAGCAGGCCGGAAGAGCAGTGGAACTTTGCGGTGGTAGCACGGCCAGGAGCTGCTCCAGAGGCTTGAGTGGCTCACCGAGAGTGGGATGGAAAACAAAACCAGAGATTCTTTCGGAGAAGTCCGAGGCAAACGGTGCGTAGTAGTAAGGGTAGTACCATCGCCAGGAGCTCACGCCGTGGTAGTAGTAGCGGAGGATCCATGCAAGGCCTTCCAGGTACTTGAGCACCACCTTGGCACTCTCGCTCTCGGCCACCTCGAGCTTGAGGGAGTAGTACCTCGTCTTCCATCCTGGCGAGCCGAGATCACTCCTGTCCATCTTGAGCTGGAGGTTGAGTTCGCGATCTTGGTTCTTGGTAAGTTGCGTCCTCACTTTCAGTTTTAGCAGCTCCAAGGTTCTGTGCTGCTCGTCGAGCTCGTGATTTTCAGGACTGGATGGCTGAGGTTCTTCACTTTGCTCGAGTTCCAAGTCATCCAGTTCCAGAGCTACGTCTTCACCGTTTTCTAGATCCCAGAGCTCTTCCGGAACCTCTACGACGTAATCTTCTTGGTCTACTCGACTTGGAGCTCCAGCAAACTCTCGTCTTCTTCTGGTACGTCTCGGCCTTTTCCTCCTCTCTTTCTTCTTATACTTGTTCTTGAGGAAGCCTTCTTCGCTGGCAGCTATGGCGGAGAAGAAGTGTGCCACACTCGGTAAGTTCATTTCACCGTTTCTCGTGAGATAGTCACCCATTTGCGTGAACTCGGTTGTGTAGATGGTGATCATCGAGTCGATAGCTCCATCGTCAATCAGCAAAGTTGGAATGTGAGGGAGAAAATCGTTGCCGATCAAGCAGCACATAAACACAAAGTCGTCTATCACCCGCTCGTCATCGATCTCAAACGGTGGACACTCGGCCACTCTCATTCTCTGGACGAGGCATTCGCGTAGCAGCGAAAGATCGAGGAACTCAAATCCAGTAGCAACGTTTTCCTGCCGCTGGCTCGTCCACTCTCGAGATTCGCGCAAGATGGAGAAGTTCTGCTCGTGAGTGGCGAGTGTCAGGAGGATCAAATCAGCGTCGGCTCCAAAAACACAGTGGCTGGTCTCCGGATCATACTCTCCAGAGTGGTTTTTCCTCTTCCCGCGAATGAAGCTCATGATCTTGTGCTCTCCCTCTCCAGGAACGCTCGAGTCGGAGAGTATCACTTGGAGGCCCTTCCACGAAGCGCTGGTGGCGAGACGAAGATTTACGTACTCTCGCAGAGCGGCGGAGAGATCGGCCATGAACTTCGTCCCGGGAGTGATCACATTCGAGTCTTCCAATCCAGATCCTCTCCCGGGAGGCGGGAGAGCTCTCCCCTCGGCGGCAAATCGCCCACGAAGTTTTTCCTCGGCAGCGGTAGCATCGGCGGCCTCTCTAGCGGCCACAAATCTCCGCGCGCGCTGCTGGTTCATCTTTGCGCGCGGAGCCACGCCATCCACGGCCAAGAACAAGAGCTTCCTGGGACGAACAAGCTCCACCACAGCGTCTATGTAAGCTCCAATCCCCTGGAATACCTCGTCTTGCGTGGTGGGCAATGGGCGGCCATCGCTGCCGCTGGGATGAAAGCACGAATGGACGATGGAATTCATGTCCAAGTAGAGATTGTCGTGGCACTGCCCGGAGCTCGCCCCCACTGCCGCTGGAAACGCGCGACAAAGCCATCCAAAGAACAAAGGAATCCCCATAAACCCTAACTTTCAGTTAAATTCAAAATTGAAGGGCACAAAATAACCGGTATATTCTACGATCTATCTAAGAATCCATTTTATTTCTTCATTATTTGGTTTAGATTTTATATATACTCATTTCTGTTCCCATTGTACGCGTTGTTTCCTTTTCATTCACGGTTTTTTAGTAGTTTTAGGACTTTGGCTTGAATCTAGATTATAGCAATGTTGTACAGAAGATAAGATGGTATCATCTTGACAGCAATGTTGTGCAGAAGATAAGATGTTATCACCTTGACATATAGTAGTTTAAAATCTAAAATATATCTTTGGCCAAAGGGTAGCTGCAAATTCTGTAAAAGCTAAGAAAACATTCCGGTGGTCACTATGCAGGAGAAGTGACACCAGCAGATTGTACCACAAGCTCCACGTACTTGTCAAAGCAACTCTGCTCGTCCTCGATAAGCTTGCGACATTCTTTGTGGTTCTTGTCAATCAGCTTCGAAAACATAACCTTTGCGTTTAGGAGACGTGCATACTCTGTATCATTGTTGTACCAGATCTTTTTGGTCCAACCACAACCATTGCACAACGTTGCATACTTGGTGAGTATGTAGAATGGAACCGCCGGGATTTCCATTTCTGCTTCAGGCCCAAGCGAATTAAAAGAGAAAGACACAAGCATGCCACGAACATCTGGAAGGTGGCCCAAACAATCGCCCGCTTTTACAGCCTAGGGCAAGTGTTCCCGGATGTAGTTGAGTTTCATCTTCATTTCGGAGTGCAGCGCCTCAACCTAGGGTGCGCATCACGTCCACGAGGTGTCCCAGGTTCATCGAACGCATGCTCCCGAAGTCTTCCTTGCTGCGACCGGGTAATTGCCGACGAGTCAAAGGCAATTGAAGCGTACACTGCGGTATGTGAACTTAGGACGTCGCTTTTTTTTTCTGTGTCTCTGTACTGACTGCCTTTTTCTTCGCATCGAACAAGAAATCCTTGCCCGAATTTTTAAATATATATCTCGCGGACCAAGTTTCCAGGCCGATTTGCCAGACCTTGAGGCCATATTATCCTTGGCCCTTGAGATGCGATTCTAGAACTTGTCGCCTCCTAGCGCCATGTCGAAGTTGTCAATGTATCTGGAAGATCACGTAAGTTAAGTGTCTCGAACTAAGATCGCTGTCCATGGCGGCAATCTAAAAGAAAGGAACGCGAACAATTGCCTTGATCTCTTTCCATAACTCTTATCCAGAAGATCCTCGATAGGCTTGGAACATCGGCATGATTGCCCTCAATCAGCTTGAACAACACACCCTTTGCGTTTAGGAGACGTGCATACTCCCTTGTTGGTTCTCAGCGTTGTTTTGTCTCAACCAAGCAGAACGCCACCCATTCTTCATCTGTGCAAGGAGGAAAAAAAGAAAATTCATTAGTGTGCTTGCCACCTTCTTGAGAAGGTATTACAAGTCCTGAGACTGATCGGTCCTCCCAATCCATAGAAGAAGAAGTATGGATCTAGAACATGGTGACACTATAACACCAGCAATCGCACCGTAGCAACACATTCTATAGAACATTCTGACGTGTCCTCGGGGCGACGGTAGTCAATGTGCACAGATTCGCGTGTTAGCCACCGCATTAGCAGCTGGTAAACGCGTTAACCCCTCGCCATAGCTAAGGTTTAAGCGGTTCTTCACAATGTACAAGAACCAGCTTCAGGAATTCGCGCAGAAAGCTGGGTGGACAATGCCGCAGTACGACTTTTCCATGGAAGGCCTGCCGCATCTCCCTCGGTTCCAAGCTTCTGTCGAGGTGAATGGCATCAAATACGACTCGGAGGATGGTTTTCCAAACCTCAAGGCCTGGATGCGCTCAATGGGGCCGATGGCTCCCTGATACGATCGCTTGAATCTCACGGTTTTCGTCTTCCACAGGGCTTTGCAAGAGTGAGCTCCAAGAGCACGCGAGGAATGGCTTGTCCCTTCCAATCTATCAAATGGAGATCAAAGGGCCGAGTCACAAGCCAGAGTTTGAAGAGATCGGTGGTGTTTTCCTACAAGGGTGGTACTGCCAAGAACACGCTGGTACAAATCGTGCTTGAGCCGCCTGGAGAGCGAGAGCTAGACAAGAGAGAGAATAGACAATCAAGAGAGAGGCTATGGGAGATGTAACAACTAGAACTATTGGTGTTACAAGGTCTGATGAGAATCTTTGCATTTCTTCTTCACTTCTAAGCTGCTCTTCACTCGAAAGCACGATGTGACAATGGAACTTGTCCAATTTCGTGGCGATGGCCGGAGCTAGGAATGTGGCTTTCAAACTTGAAAGAGAAGCTATATTGCCATAGCCCTAACTTTAAAACATAATATTCGTGGTTTAGGGCTTTTCAATTAAAAGAGTGAAGGAGGGAAGGCTATGGCGCCTTAGGGTACCGGGGAGCGAGCGCGATGTACATCAAACAGGTATGATCGAGTCCTCGCGTGGCCGCTACTGGAAAATGCGCTCGATTTCCAGGTGATTATCGAAGGTTTCAAGAGCTACAAAGAACAGGTCGCGACTGAGCCTTTTAGTCCTAAGCACAACTGTGTTGGTACGCATTCTTCCTGTAGAAATCTCCGTTATTTTCCCCTCCTTTTCTTGCGGAGTGATCTGTTTATGTTATTTGCAGTTGGCGCCAATGGCTCTGGAAAAACAAATTTTTTCCACGGTGAGTGTTCTTCTTATGAGAAATTCTATTTTCATGCTTGTGTCTTCTTTCTTTCTTCCAGCAATTCGATTCGTTCTTAGCGACCTGTTTCACAACCTGCGAGCTGAAGACAGACAAGCACTTCTCCATGTAAGATCGCTTCCGGGTGTGTTGCTGGGCGGTCTTCTCATGTGTTTCATGTCTACAGGAAGGTGCCGGACATCAAGTGCTATCCGCATTTGTGGAGATCGTCTTTGACAACAGCGACAATCGCATACCGGTAAAGTACATTTTCTCCTGTTTGGGTGTTTCTTTAATTTGTCTTTCAAGGTCGACAAAGAAGAAGTTCGCCTCAGGAGGACAATCGGTATGAAGAAAGACGAGTATTTTCTGGACAAGAAGCATATCACGTAAGTACGAAGACGAAAGATTAATACCAGCTGACATTGATGCAGGAAGACTGAAGTGATGAACCTTCTGGAAAGTGCCGGATTTTCCAGATCAAATCCCTACTACGTTGTGCAGCAGGGCAAAGTGAGTTCCTTTTTTTTAGTTCTTGGCATGCCATTCTAACGGCGTTTAACTATGTCGCAGATTGCGTCCCTCACCCTCATGAAAGACAGTGAGCGTCTTGATCTTCTTAAAGAAATCGGTGGTACACGGGTGTATGAGGAGCGCAGGAAGGAGAGTCTCAAGATTATGCAGGACACCGGTGAGCTCCAAGTCGATGTCTGAGATTGTCTGTCTTACTTAATGTGTCGTACAGAGAATCGGAGGAAACAGATCATTGACGTTGTGCAGTATATTGAAGAGAGGCTCAAGGAGTTGGATGAAGAGAAGGAGGAGCTGAAGAAGTATCAGCAGCTAGATAAGCAGAGGAGGTCTCTAGAGTATACGATTTTTGAAAAGGAGCTTCTTGACGCGAGGCAAAAGCTGGAAGAGGTAACGAAATTTCCTTCTAAAATAGATAACTCATCATTTGAACACAGATTGAAGAAGCTCGCGCTAGAGTGTCCGAAAAGTCGTCGAACATGCACAATGCTGTTGTGGAGTCGCACGAACGTTTGAAAGGAATTGAGAAGGAGCTCAAAACTTTGGCTAAAGGACAGCAAGGTTTGCTCAAGGAGAAGGAATCCGCTGAGAAGCAGAAAACTGAAGCTATGAAGGCTTTAGCCAAGTTTGAGCTGGACGTTCGAGATGTAGAAGACCGAATCAAGTCTGAAGCAAGAACAAAGGTGTTGTATACTTCTATTCCCACCAACGGCAAATTTAAGTCGCTTTACTTGAATTTTATGTTCAGGAAGAGGTAACAAAGGAGCTCCAATCGCTTGAAAAGGAGATTAAAAAAACGGAGAATGAGTTTGAGCAAGTGAAGCCCGTGTATGATCGACAAGTAGCAGAAGAAGACGAAATTACCAAAGGGTAACGCATGATAATTGTTTTCTTTTGATCTTCATAATTTTGCCTGTTTCTCAGAATTATAGAGCGCGAGAAACGGCTGAGCGTTCTTTATCAGAAGCAGGGTCGAGCTACGCAGTTTGGAAGCAAACGAGAACGAGACAAATGGCTCCAGAAAGAAGCTTCAGACTTGGAGAAGGTGGTGGAAACGACTTCTGCACAGGTTTGCTATTCATTTCTTTGTTCTTACCTCGTTTGCTCCCGCTTTAGATTGTAAAACTGGAGGAGGAAATACGTCACATGAACGAGGAGCTCGAAGCGCACACGAAGAGTATCCAAGATCGGTCTCGGGAATTAGCTGACGAAGAAGCTCTTGTGGGGAAATGCATGGATGACATTGCTGCCCTGAAGGTCCAACGAGATGAGCACCAGGAAACTAGAAAGTGAATAATCACTAATGCTGATACCAGCGCGACTAATCACATGATTCTTTGTGCCAGAAAACTTTGGAAGACAGAGAGTATCCTCAGCAATGAAGTTGATAAGCTGAAGTTTGACATTGTCAAGGCTGAGAAGGCTTTAGATCATTCTGCTCCTGGGGTAAGCAAGACAATTCTAGTTTGTCATATCAGTTTTTGTTTTTCAGGACATTCGTCGAGGATTGAACTCCGTGAGACGAATCTGTAGAGATCATAATATTTCAGGCGTGCATGGTCCACTTTTTGAGCTTCTTGACTGCGATGACAAGTTTTTTACGGCTGTCGAAGTGACTGCCGGAAACAGGCGAGTGAAATTTTTTCCTTGTTACCATTCTCATCTGAATATCAACTTGGTTGCAGTTTGTACCATGTCGTTGTTGATACTGATGATATCTCTACGAGGATAATTCGTTATCTGAGTGCTGAAAAGGGTGGACGGGTCACGTTTATTCCACTAAATCGTGTGCGAGCTCCTAGAGTAACTTACCCGACGAGTTCCGATGTCGTTCCTCTCCTCAAGAAGTTGAGGTTTGACCCGAAATTTAGTGAAGCATTCGGACAGGTGTGGTCTGTAGTTGTTTTATCTCTACATCACATTTGCTTTTCAGGTATTTGGAAGGACTATAATTTGCCGTGACCTCGATGTCGCCACAAATTTTGCTCGTTCGGCCGATCTAGATTGCATTACTATGGAAGGTAAGCACGTTGTTGTTGTTGTTGTTGTTGCGTGATACAGTTTAACCATCGTAAATTTCCAGGCGACCAAGTCAGTAAAAAGGGTGGTATGACCGGTGGTTTCTATGACCACAGACGGTCTAAGCTCAAGTACATGACAATCGTGAAAGAGAATGCAAGAGCCATTCACTTGAAAGAGCAGGAGCTGGAAAAAGTTCGGAACTCTTTCCAAGATATCCTTTTCTAAACTCTTTTTACGCATTTAGACTTGGTTCTTTTTTCTTAACTGGTGCACACATATAGATCAGAAGATCAACCAAGTGGTTACAGAACTGCAGAAACTGGAACCAACGCGCGCGCACCATAAATCGTTGGCCGAGCAGCTAAAGAGTGATATCTCTAATTTGAAAAAGCAGGAGACCTCTCTAGTTCACGCCATTGAAAAGAAGGTGCTTGGCATTTTTAGTTTAAGTTCTGCATCATGCTAAATGAATACATGGTTGCAGAAAAAGTCACTTGCAGTTGCTCATCAGCATATCGAGCAAGTTCGATCAAGCATTTTGACGAAACGGACAGAAATGGGTACAGATCTCATTGACCAGCTTACACCAGACGAGAAGACGGAACTTTCTCGTTTGAACCCGGAGATCTCGGAATTAAAAGATATGCTAGTGCGGTATAGAGCTGCTAGAATGGAGGTAATGTACTTTTTCGTCATTCATGTTTGTGCGTTGATATAACCGATGGGACCTACAGACGGAAACCGTATGAGCGAGCTCGAGACTTTACTTTCTACAAATCTTGTAAGGAGGCAGCAGGAGTTGGAGGCTCAGTTTTCAGCAATAGATCCAGATTCGATGCTCGCCGATTTGGAACAAAAGAAGCAAGCATCGGTAGATGCAAGCACCGCAGTAGAAGAAGCTACTCGTAATCTCAAAGGTAAAAGTCTATGTCTTTATCATGTCCTGCATTACATTCTTTTACAGTAATTACGGATAATATTGAGAAGCATGCCAAACAAGTCAGGGATCTCAAAAATGCGAAAGATGAGCTAAAGGTTCTGCCTCTTGTTCATAACTGGATCTGGATCTGAATCTTGACCTTTATGATCAGGCTTTGGAGGACAATTACGAGCGGACTCTTCAAGACGAGGCAAAGGACCTTGAGCAGTTGCTGAATCGCAAAAACCTTCTTCAAGTTAAGCGCGAGGACTTGACGAAAAAGATCCGAGACTTGGGCTCCTTACCGTCTGATGCTTTTGAGAAGTAATGAATCATGGAGCAATGCCGTTTACTAACAGCTCCTTGGCAGGTACCAGCGCAAAAGTTTGAAGGAGCTACATAAGATGTTTCACAAATGCAACGAGGAGCTGAAAAAGTTTAGCCACGTCAACAAGAAAGCTTTGGATCAGTATGTTAATTTCACCGAGCAAAGGGAGGAACTACATAAACGCCAGGCTGAGCTTGACAATGGCGACGAGGTACTCAACCGTTTCAATCAAAGACATAGTCATGCAACCTCCGCCTTATGCAGAAAATTCGTGAGCTCATTTCGGTTCTGGACCAACGTAAGGACGAGGCTATCGAACGGACTTTCAAAGGGGTGGCGAAGAATTTCAGGGAGGCATTTGCGGAGCTTGTCCAAGGTGGGCATGGCTCTCTTGTGATGATGAAGAAGAGAAAGGTGAGTACGTAGTGTTGTTATATCCGCGCTTGACAGTGTATTATTGTTCTTGACAGGCTGACGAGGCTGAGGACGAGGACGCAGATAATGATGAAGACGGAAACCGGGAAGCAGGAAGCGAGGGAAGGGTGGAGAAGTACGTCGGTGTCAAAGTGAAGGTACGTGTGCTTTTGTTTGTGGCTTTGCGTGTAACGTGTCTCCGTGCAGGTTTCCTTCACCGGACAAGGGGAGACGCAATCGATGAAACAGCTTTCCGGTGGCCAGAAGACTGTTGTGGCGCTAGCACTCATCTTTGCTATACAGCGCTGTGATCCTGGACCTTTTTATCTGTTTGACGAAATCGACGCAGCTCTGGATCCACAGTACCGAACTGCCGTTGGAAGTAAGTTTTGAGTTTTGTTTCTTGGCTAGCCGGACCAACTATTCTTTCATTTCATTCCAGACATGATCAAGCGTCAGGCCGATACTGCGAATACTCAATTTATCACGACGACTTTCCGGTCCGAGCTTGTCAAGGTTGCGGACAGGATCTATGGTGTGACGCACAAGAACAGAGTGAGCCGAGTGGACGTTATCAGCAAAGACGACGCTCTGCAGTTTATCGAGCAGGATCAAACCCACCACAACGAGTGACTTTTCGGGACTTGAGAAAGAGTTTGGTCCCTCTCTTTCTTTCCTTTCCTCTCTTACTCACGTATACGCTTTGTGCAGCAAGCTGACTGACACTTAACAGCGCTTCGTTTTTGTAAATTTTCACAAGCTCTACTAAATACGATCTTTGGATGTTTTTTGTCAGTTGTACACCCTTTCTTCTTGGCAAACTCCGAGCCAGAAAGTTTCTCGACTGAGGTATCAGATTGATTGAGTCGCATTATTCCATAAACTAGTGCGTCTAATGGACTCGTTTGTGAAAAAAGAGCCGATTTTTCTGTCCACATGAGTCTGTTCCTTCCAGGTTTCCAGTACAAGGCGCCCTCTTCGTTGCACTCCCAGTTTCATCGCTCCAATGTCAAGGTAAAAGACAAAGCTTTCATTGCGAGGGACTTAAATGTTTTCCGCACAGATGTGTATCAATTCGATCGGAGTGCTCAGGCCTCGAGCTGCTCAGCCAATTCCAAATCTTTTAGCGGATGATTTCAGGCATCCTCTGGACCAGCAGGTGCTCAATTTCTGCAAGTCATTGTCTCTAGCCAGTGAATTTTTTTATGCAGAACACGGCAATCTTGCGGGTCATTCCAGGACTTCCTGAGATTGGAAAGCTTATTCTAGGTGGACTTTAACGCTTGTCGATTTGATTTTTTATTAAGAGTTGTTATTCTGTCAAGCAGGGCCTGTGGCAGAGCAAGTGATGCTCTTAGAGAACATAGCTAGTTCTGTCAAAGTTAACGACAAACAGGTACCAATCCTTCTGAAGTTCTTTTAATTTTTTCTAATGACTTCTGTTCCAGCTGCCTCATCTTCATGACTTAATCACAGAGGCTTCTACCATACTCGGGTTGGAATCGCCTCCAGATTTGTATGTTCGGCAGAATCCCGTTCCAAATGCCTACACTTTGGCCATCGCCGGAAAAAAGCCATTCATTGTGTTGCATACAAGCATCATAGAGCTTCTCAAGCCAGCTGAACTTCAGGTCAGTAGTTTTTCGTTTTGCTTGTGTACGTCTCTCAAGTGTTAAACTACAGGCAGTGATTGCTCACGAACTTGGTCACCTGAAATGCGATCATGGCATATGGCTAACGTTTGCAAACATTCTTGCAATGGGAGCCTACTCCCTGCCCGGTAAGTATCTAAAACTTTTTCCAGTCCAAAGTTTACAGTTTCGATTGACGATTCAAGCAGGATTGGGAACTGTTATTGCTCGCAATCTCGAAGAGCAGATATTTAGATGGGTGAGAGCTGCCGAACTAACTTGTGATCGAGCAGCTCTTCTCGTGGTTCGTGATCCCGACGTAAGTAGTCAAAACTCTCTTCATTTCTCCGTGCTGATGGTTGTCTGAGAACTTTCAGGTGGTGATCTCTTTGCTAATGAAACTCTCAGGTGGATGCCCATCACTTGCAAACCAGCTAAACGTCCAAGAGTTTCTGAAACAAGCTCGTTCGTATGACGAGGCTTCCGCCAGTCCTCTAGGATGGTATCTCAGGCGAGTGATATATCCTTTTGCCTATCGCTCTCTCACACTTTTTTCTCAACAGGAACGCTCAAACGAGGCAGCTCTCGCATCCATTGCCAGTCTTGAGAGCTCGGGAGATCGATCAATGGGGTCGAAGCACCCAATACAAAGCATTGGTGGCTCGTAAGTTCTAGCAAATTCTTACACAATTTCCAGGACACAGAGCTGTACATACAATAGAATGAATAGAATAAATAAGCGAACTATATCCATAGCGGTTCTTAGTTGAAGTCTTCTGGCACAACAGGATACGATGCGCAAGTAGCAATGCCTGAAAGCAAGAGAAACTTTTCACTAGGAAAAAGAGTGACGATGAATGTGAGCACGTACCACACATGTTCTTGCCCATTTCCATGTAAAAGTATCCATCCAGCCCAAAGGACTCGCCCCACGAGTTTTTGATGATCCAGTATGGAACTGGTGCGTCTCTGTTGTATCCAACTGCGAGGACAGCATGGTTCACAGTCTGCGAATTTTTTCGATCAGGTGTTTAGTCTCTCACACAAAGAAGGAGAAAAGAAAGTAAAGGAAAGAACTTACGTCTGGACCGGTGCCACAAACGTTGCTCGTGTAAACACCCGACTTGTAGAAGCGGAAGTCTTTCAGGACCTCGTATGCAATGCTAACGGGCCTGTTGAACGCGACCGCATGGATAAGCTCGTCCTCCGCGCCCTGTTCTCGCGAAAGAAAAAGAAACCATTCGTTAGCAACGAAGCATCGTTGTTGCCTGTGGAAATCGTACCTCGGTGATGTTCACCACGTCGTAAACCTTGGCGCCAATCGAATTCTGGTTGTACGTGCATTTGCCATCGTGTCCGGTGTAGGGGTAAGAGTCCTCGGTGTCCAATCCACCGTTGTACCTGATGTACTCGAAGGCTTGCGATGGAAGTCCTCCGTTGCAGCCAAAGTTGTTATATCCTCCAGCGCAATCCACTAGCTGCTGCTCGGACAGAACAACCATTTTCCCTGTGGCTTGAGCGTGAGCAGACTCTAGAGCACCGGTTGTGCTTCACGAACAAGGACGAGAACCTGTGAGATCCAAAAACTCCAGCTTGTGAATAGAAACTACACTACCTGAAAGTCCAGCATGATCCGCAGTGTTGCTGGTTTTTGACAGGACTAACGATCTTATCATCACGCCAGTCTTTCTGTGAAGAATCATAGCTTAGATAGAGGATGAAGAACAAGATAAACACTTGGTTTTTCTTGCTACCTTCGATGGCGGAGTAAGGAACGCTCGGACAGAGTTCGTAGTGGTCGCGGAACAGTTTTGCGAGCTGAAAAGGTTGTGCTTTTTAAATTCCTCCCATGACATGTCGGCAAACTCTGCAAATCCACAAGAGTCCAAGCCAAGAATGAGTACAAACAGCGCTCGAATCTTTTTCCTTTTCCTGACTTACGGTTCACAGCAAGCGTGTAAGGCAGTTCCTTCCGGTTGGTCTCTTCAATCAGCTCCAAATTGCGAGAAAACGTAACAAATCGTTCCCGGAGCTCCACAAGCGATCCATACACCCTCTTGTGCCTGCGCTCTTGATAAATACCGCACAGATCGAGCAAAGAATAGCCCATACCTGGTAGCGAATTCGTGGAATCGAGCGACCTTGTGACCCTCTCCGAGCAGCTCCGTGAATCGCGCAGGAGAGATCCCGTCGATTACCATGGAGATGGCGCTGCTATCGTCGAGGAATCGCGCCGTGGAGAGAGAAATCGCCGCCATGGCCAGAGCCATTGCCAGCGCCATCGCTAGCTGAGCCATAGCAAAGAGTCAAAAATATCGGCTACTCGCCCTAGCGCACTGAATCTATATAGAGATTCCATCCCACGTCCCCGGAGATTCCGGAATAATTCCTGGCGCCAAAATATCTGCTTTTAGGGTTCTAGCGTGGCCGATGCAATCTAGATTAGATTTTTGTTGTTCTTCAAAACTTCTGGAATCAAGCTATGGGACTCAGGTGTAGGTTTTTTTTTTGTTTTGAGAGAGTTCTTCAATGACAAGATGGATTTGATTTCTCATTCAACAATTTAACAGTTGATCACTCGAACGTTGGTCTGATTAAAAGCCTACCGGCGCAAAGCTGGAGGTCGGATAGTCGCCATAGCAACGCCACGGGGAAGTTTGTGGCGAAGTTCTGGATATTGAGATCTATCACAAGAAAAACACCAGCTTGAATGGATTGCCCAACGTAAGTAAAGCACTGATAGATTACCGCCATAAAGGATCAGCTTTAGAATGCTGATGGTTATTCTCCCGGATTTGCTACCTGGGTTCTTAATGCTGGTGAATTATCGCAGAGTGGAGCCACTGTCTCCTACCTGGATCATATTGAACTTGGACGAATGACTCGAGGAATGGAAGAGCATGGGAAGAAGTAAGCTTCTCTTACTCTATATATTCATCCTTCGAATCTAAGCCGCATTGATACAGGTTCTTCCTGTTCTTGTTGTCTATTATGGCTTTGAAGAAGCGATGGTTGTCAAATGTGAAGAAAACCGAGAGAAGGTTAGAAATAAAAACACGTCCAGGATTTCTAGCTACGAAAAAAAACAAAAGGATTACCTCTTGTTTCTTTTCTGCTACTCGAATCTTAATAACAGATATTCTAAGAATATCTAGTATATCCATCGTCTTGTGCTTGAAACAAATCCGCCACCCAGAATCCAGCGAAAATGTAATGGAAAAAGCTCTCGAGTTTTACAAGGAGCTACTTCTTACTCGTGTTGATGGATTTGCTAATGCCCGTGATGTGCTACCAGTTAATCTTCATACCGCTAACGTTTGATGTAAGAACCATTGTTTCTCGGGGTTCTTGTTCGGCCTCCCAATCCCGAAAGTATTGAACCAATAGTATCGCTATGAGCTCACATGAGAATCGCTTTTGTTCCGTCACAGGCCATCAACACGAAATCTAAGGTATATCTGTGCCCCATAATTTTTTTCTACCTTTTTGCAAAATCTCATTTAAGGATACCTGTTTCCTTGGGCTAGGGTATGGATGACTTTATCAACCTTTCGGAGAAGAAGCAAAGGCGGCACTGGGATGGTATGATCACGAATGGCAAGGTGAATGGTAGAATTACAGGTGCTCTGGATCATCCCATCTGGTCCCAGCTGCCTTTGGAACTCCAGCTCCACATTCTAAACTTTTTGCCACTGCCGGCACTTTGCCGTGGAAAGAGCGTCTGCAAGGCTTGGAAGTCCGCAATCCAGGGCTTGGGATATAGCAAAGCTCACCGGTTTTCCAATGGGCAGTGGTATATCATGAAGGGTGATAACAGTGTTGGTCTCTGTGATGGAAATTCAAGTCCTCTTTCATGGAAGATGATCCGGTTACCTTTCGAGATACACACAGACAGTATCTGTATGTCTTCTGCCGGGCTTGTTCTTGCATACTTTCCTTTTTACAGGCCACAAAATATAATGGTTTGCAACCCCTTAGATTTAAGTTCCCTGGTGAAGCTGCCTCCACCACCTGGTTCTGAGCCAACCATAGTTTTCGTGGCTATCCAATCTTCAGTTGGTAGTGACAACAGGCCTTGGTTTTGCGTGGTTTGTGTTGGGGGAATCAAGACAACGCATGTAGGTGCACGCCATCTAGTTCTACAAGTTTATGATTCCAGAGTTCACAAATGGGTCTCGTCTTGTCGAGTATTCACAAACGGGAATGAGATTGCCCAGACTTCCTTTCGTGACGCCAACGATTGCATGCTTCTACGGGAGGGCAAGCTCTACTTTATCACGATCGCAAAGAACAACACCAGATCGCTCAAGTGCGTCAACGTGTGGGATTCAGATGGCAAGGTGGCGACTTTGGCAACCTGGACGAGTCTTCCCATGGGCTTGCATCAAGAAACATACGACCCCCCATGCCTGTACAATAACACCTCACTTGTTTACTGTGCTGGTAAGCTTCTTCTTTTCTTTTCTCTCTATTTATGCATGGTTTTTTAAACTGGGTTTCAGGAAAGCTGGTGCTCGCAAACTTTATACTGGATGCAAAGACCCTTGGTTTTGTCTATCTGGACGAAGCATCCAGAGAATGGCGACCCTTAGCAACAATGCCAAGAGAGATTATGCCGGCAGAGCTTAGATATCTTAGGTTGCAAGCAAGAAATATGCATCAGTGGAGTTTGGTAGTAGCGGGAGGTGGGGCAGAGATCACCTTGTTTCTAAGTCACTTCAAGGGATTGTGTTGGGGTTGCATTTACAATGACGAGACCGGTATCTGGCAATCTGTCTTTGGCCAAAAGGTTGAGATGTTGTATCCTTTTAAGCCATCATTAGTGTCCATTTAGATAAAGTGGTTATTGTGACTTGATTTGTGTTGGCTTATAATTTGATTTATATTTCAAGCTCCTTGATCTCTAAGTCTCCTCTTGGTGATCAAATAGCACAGAATAATAATTCAAGTTGTTCTTACTGAGAATTTGCAAAATGCTCTTTGAAGATGAATTAACTTCATCTTTAATTTTATAAAATTAGCAAATAAAGCAAGACGTCGCTTTACCACCCTATATAGAGATTCCATCCCGTGTCCCCGGAGATTCCAAAAGAACTCTTGCCGCCAACTGATGCTTTGTTTTTAGGGTTCTAGCGTGGCCGATGCAATCTGAGACCGCGCTCGCGAATCGAGTGAGGAATTGCGGCGATCTCGAGCACGCAAAGAAGATTCACGCGGTGATTCTCGGTAGCGACCACAGGCACAGCAGATATCTCTCGAATTTGCTCGTGGAAGCCTATGGAAAGTGCGGAAGCTTGGACGATGCCACGGCGGTGTTCGATGCGATCGACGCGCCCAATTCTTACTCGTGGAATCTGCTGCTCCGCGCCTACACCCACAATCGTGAGCTCCGCAGGGCGGAAGAGATCTTTGCGAGGATCCCGGAAAGAGATCGCGATGGCGTGGCGTGGACGACGATCATCTCGGCGTATGCCCGCGCTGGACAGATCCACGACGCGCGGAGGCTGCTGGAGAGGATGCCTCGCCTGGAGAAGAAGTTGGCGCTCACGACGATGATCACGGCGTATGCCCAGCGCGGGCATTTGCAGGAATCGCAAGCTATGTTCGATCAAATCGCCGACAAGGACACCGCGTGCTGGAATGCCTTGCTCACTGCGTATGCAAGCAATGGAGAAACGAATCGTGCAAAGGAGATCTTCGATCAGATGGGCGATCGAGACAGGATCTCCTGGACCGCGCTTCTCACAGCATTTGCCAAGAATGGGCAAATTCAAGAAGCGTGGAAACTCTTTGATGTTATGCCCAAAGAGCTCAAGGCATCCAGCGCCTATAACACGATGATGAGCGCTTGCATTGCGTCAGACAACATCTCTGAAGCTCGAGCTCTCTTTGATCAGATGGACATCCGGGACACCGTATCGTGGAATCTCCTAATCACTGGCTACGCAAGGCTTGGAAGTGTGGATATGGCACGAGCAATCTTTGATGCCATGCCAGAGAGAGATGTTGTATCATGGAATTCCATTCTTACGGCAAATGCCCAGAAAGGGCATGCCAAGGAATCGCAACGAATCTTTGATGAGATGCCTTGCCACGACATGGTATCGTGGAATGCCCTTATCGCTGCCTATGCGATGGAGGGTAGTTTAGGTCGAGCTAAGTTTGTGTTCGATCAAGCTCCAGCTAGAGATAGTGTGACATGGAAATCTCTTCTAACAGCATACGCCCATAATGGGCATATTGAGGATGCTGAGATTTTGATCCAGAAAATGCCCTTGCAGTGCTTGAGCGCGTGCACGGCCATGATCATGGGGTACGGACAGAATGCCCTGGTGATTCCAGCACGGAATCTCTTCAATGACATGCCCTGCTGGGACATTCTGACCTTGAATTGCCTGCTCAATGCCTACGTCCAGAATGGCCACCTTCTGGACGCACGAGGTTTGCTGGAAGAGATGCCCGAGCACGACGCTGCATCGTGGAACGTCCTTCTCGCCGCTAGCAAAGATTCGCGTGAAGCAAAGAGGATCTTTGATCGAATCCTGTATAGAGACATCGTTTCATACAACGCAATCATCTCTGGATACGCACAGAGCGGAAATCTGGACAAGGCGAGCGCGCTCTTCGATCGAATGCCGGAGAGGGACGTGATCTCCTGGAACACGATGGTCACCGCGTATACCCAAAACAATGATCTACCTCGAGCGATCGAGCTGTTCCAGGAGATGCCCGAGAAGGATGTGATCACCTGGAACACGATGCTGGGCGCCTATGCTCAAAACGGGGATCTAGAGAAGGCGAGGAGCGTTTTTTATGAGATGCCACAGCAGGCACTGTCGTCCTGGAACGCGATGCTCGCAGCCTACATCCAATCCGGGCACACCGACGAGGCCAAGCGATTCTTCGCCGAGATGCCGCAGAGGAACATCCTGTCCTGGAACACGATCCTGGGAGCTTGCTCGAGAGCCGAGGAAGGAAAAGCCCTCTTCGATACGATGCCTGCCAGGGACATCGTCTCGTGGAACTCGATGATCTGGGCATACTCCCAAGGTGGCGATGTCGCCAGCGCCAAGACCCTCTTCGATTCCATGCCAATCCGGCAAACTTCGTCGTGGAACGCAGTGATCGGAGCTTACGCCAGCGCCAACGATCTCATCCCCGCGAGAGAGCTCTTCGATGAGATGCCGCAGCGAGATCTAGTGTCGTGGAACACGATAATCTCTGCGTATGCTCGCGAAGGAATCAGCGATGCCGTGACCCTCTTCGATCAAATGCCCGAGAGAGACGCTGGATCGTGGATTGCTGTGGTGGCCGGCTGCATTGGAGCTGGATTAACCCAGAGAGCCAAGGATTTCTTCCAAATCTGCCCAGACAAGGAGGCCATTGCGTCGCTCATGATCGCGATGCTTGCCGAGAAGGGCGATCTGGAAGCCGCGAGGAGCGCGTTTGATCGCCTCCACAATCCCAAGCTCGTGGAGTGCAACGCGATCATCACGGCCTACGCGCAGCAAGGATATCCGAGAGAAGCGCGCGAGCTCTTCAACGCAATGACGTGGCGGGATGCTGTGACGTGGAATGCCATGGTGGCAGCATATTCCCAGAACGGAGACCTAGATGCGGCTCTCTTCCTCGCGGCGACCATGCCGGAGCAAACTCTGGTGTCGATCAACGCGATAATCACCGCGCTCGCCTCCACTGGCCACTGGATCGAGGCGTTCCATCGATTCCGGCAGATGCTGATCCAGGGCTTCGATCCCGACGGAATCACATTCGTCACGATCCTTACGGCGAGCGGCGGCTGCGCGGTCGATTGCTCCAAGAGCTTCGTCGCCATGGCAGTGGATTTCAGCGTGGAGCCCGGGATCAAGCACTACAGCTGCCTGATCGACGCGCTGTGTAGATCCGGTCAGGAAGAAGCCGCCCAGCAGGTGCTGCGATTGATGCCAATCGTGCCGGATGCTGTGACTTGGACGAGCTTGCTGACAGCGTGTGGAATACATGGCTCGCCCGGAAGAACCCTAATCGCGAAGAACGCCACACGTGGCAAGGGGGCCTCCCCTTATGTGTTACTTTCAAATATTCTAGCTAGTAGTTTTTAGGCATTTTTTGTAATAAACAATGCTAACCAGTTCGCATCCCATTCAATTAGCTAGATTTTGTTTATACTAGCCATTAAGTTATTATATCTTTGCTTGACGCAAACTACCATTTCTGGAGCTCAGAACATCTTTTTTTTCTTCATGCTAACACTTCACAGCTCCAACCTTCATTTTAGCATTTGCAATCCCTAGGAACTCTTTGTCTCATTGCCACTGCTCAGGATTACCATTGGGATTACCACTGTGGGCCATTCTGGAGATCTTTGTCAATACTCTGCTCTATGACTCCCAAAAGGTGGTGATAGCCTATGCATGGACTAATGTGCAAGAAATCGAGAGATTGAGCATAGGAAAGTAGGTGCTATGGACTGATTGAGTATTATAGAGAAGTTGTGAGCTGTGTGATATTCTTGGAGGACTCAAAGTTGAGTTTACTATGAACAAATGGATATGGAAGATGTGCTTTTGTTACTAGCAACAACATAGCGAGAACTTGGCACCAACTTCAAGAATAAGAGTTCCACTAGGTCTTAGGCCAAAACCTAACAACAACACCATGAGAACTTGGAAGTAAAACTTGCTTTACTCTATATTTTATGTTCTGAAATGTGCTTGAAATGCTCAATCTTTTACTTAGTCTTTGCTGTCTTCTTAACACCCCACTTTGTTTCTCCTTGGGCATTGCCACTGCTCATAGCCATATTTTTAGCAGAAAATACAATAGAAATGCTAACTGTATTAAATTAGAATTTTCAAAGTACATCACCATTACATTTAGTATTTTAATTTAGATTTAAAATAAACTTTGGATTGCATTAAATTACCTTAATTTAATGTTTTTTAACCATTAAGCAGTAGTATTATATACTAAATATCTTATTTCATTGTTGATGGTGATGAATAATCTACATTTTTTTATTATGGTAGATAATTATCAGACAATGAATATGGTGATTAACAATATTTAATGATAGTTAATTATTTTCTTTGGGGATGGTAGATAATTCTTAGACAATGATTATTGGTGGGGTGATTAACAATATTTAGTGATGGTAATTGTTTTCTTTAATTACCTTAACTTTCCACATTACTACATATTTTTATGGTGCACTTTAGATTTAGTTATTAAATTTGAAATATCAATGATCATGATCTATTCATATTGGTTGATATGATTGTTAACATGAAAAAATGTTTGTTGGCCTTTATAGTATTTATTATAATATTAATTCTTGCTAAGGTTGATTTTGATAGATTGGGAATTTTTTTTAGTCTGATGCATTGTCAAGTATTTTTCTTATCAAGGAATGATGATTTTTTTACTTTGAGTTGTATTTTGTGAATTTATTTTATGAATATAATTGTGAGTCCCCAATTGCATTCATGATAATTTACTTTACATGCTATTGTACATACATTGTAATTAAGTTTTATCATAAAATTTACTTGGTAGCATGCTTACTACTGAATTTTTTGAGGTAGTACTAGTTTCTCAAATGATAACTTAATTTAGTTTTAATCTAATATTTTTAACTTATAATTTTGTATTTTTAGAATATATTGTCTTTAATATTGTCCATCATCAAGTTTGGGCCAATAATGGCCTCAGAACTTACGATCAAGATAGCTTAATGCGACAATGTACAGGAAATTGTACACAGCTCCGAACCCGAGCAAAGCTCCAACGCCAAACACTTTGTAAGAGATTAAAGGCCATGTGGATTTGGCAGTGATGGAGGGTGGCACTCTTGATTGAAATATGTGTGGGTTGGGGTGCACACTAGGGCAATTTGGATGATTGCCATAAGCTTAAGATTTTAGCTAATATTCATGGTAAATATAGTATATTGACTAATATGTTGGAGTTTAAAAAGGCTTACTTTATCCAAGCATACACAATGAAGTGGCTAGATTCATTTTAAATTTCAAATGAATTTCATTGAAAATTTAAATTATTATTACAAAGCATTTAAATAATACTTCTCTCTCTCTCTCTTTCTCTCTCTCTCTCTCTCTCTATATATATATATGTATGTATGTATGTATAAATTTATTTGGCTAGAACAGTGTTCAGAAGGTGAGAAACTGAAAGTAAAAAAGGATTTGAAGAGTGCTATTGAGGCTAGTCTCCGAGCACGAGCAGCTATTGTGGAGAATGAAGAAAAAACTCTCATTGGTCAGTGAATTCCAAGAGAAGGTGGCGGCAGGTTTGCTCAAACCTGGTGAGGAGCAAGAGATCGGCAAGAATGGCCTCAAGAAGCTGCTCGTCAAGGCCGGAACTGGCTGGGAGATGCCAGAGCCTGGGGATGAAGTGAAAGGTGGTAGCGCCCTTCTCTCTCGCCCTGGCGTCGCAATGCTGGTAGATTCTTGCAGTTCACTACACTACCCCGTTTTGATTGCTGTCAAGACGATGATGAAGGGGGAAAAGGCTTTGCTGACTGTGAGGCCGAAATGTGAGGTGTTTGTGCGTTTGTTTAGCTAAGTTTCTAATGCGTTTCTAGATGGTCTTAGCGAATCACTTTCTACCGATCTGGAGCTGGTATCTTGGAAAACTGTTGAGAAAATCGGCCAAGATGGCAAAATTACGAAGAAGATTATCAAGGCGAGTGAAGGACGTGGTGATGGAACCAGTGAGTTTCTTAAGGACGACGATGCGTTTAAGAAGAAAGGCGAGCCTTCGAGTTTAAAACTGATGAAGGTCTTTTCTAAATCTGGTACTTTCCGCTGCTAACTTGTTTTAGTGTTTTTTTTTATGAACAATGCGGCAGAGGAGAAGCTACAGGTAAGACTCAAGAGGCCATCATAAATTGCATCCTGACAAGTATTTTAGGCCCCTAGCTTTACTGACGAGACGATGATGAAGAGCTGCTGCAAGGTTAGCGAGTCTCTCTCCTTGTGTATTTACCTATTTTCATACAATTGAATCTCTCGCAGAACGAAAAGGCCCTCTATGGCAGAGCTCTAGCTTACACGCACATTGCTGATTTCAACCTGGCCGAGTCTGATATCAACTCAGCGGCGCTGGGCCTGGCCGAGTTTGATATCCAAAAAGTATCAGAAAACCGGTAAGAATTATCACTCGCGTTCCATCAAACCAAGGCTCACGCGTTTATCCTACAGCAACTTGAGAATGGAGTACAAGTCGCTGAACAACAAAACTCTATGGCCACATGTTCGCAAGGCTGAGGAAGTTCGAACAGGCAAGTTTTTTGGATAATCTTTTTCTTACACGAAAGTTTAGTCTCTTTTCAATCTTGTGCGACTTGTTGGGAGGGTGAGCCACAGAAGACGCGGCCCCTGGAACACCGTTTCCTGGAAAAGAATGAGCCGCAGTGCCCCATCCACTCCATCCACTCGCTCCGGAGGATGGATTTCGAGGGCTTCCCACGTCTGCCAAGTTCTCTTGCTGTTAAGTTTTGCGAAACTGGTGATTCGATTCCAGGGGCTGGGAGCAAACAAGGATGTGAAAGGAGAAAGCCACTCACTCGCAAACAAGCTATGGAGCCATGGTATGTGGATTCCTTGAAAAGCTCTTCCTGCGAATCAAGGATGTGAGCCGAGGAAGGATCGAACTGCTGTAGTTGCCTTTGCTAGGCATTTTGGGTATGACTTCTGTTTGTCGCTTTTATTCTTTCTTTCTTTCTGACCATCAGCATCGAAGAAGGTGGCGTATTCTTTCTTATGCTCTTACGATAGATGCTTTTCTGCAGGAAGTGTTCGATGCTGCTGGTGTTTCGCTTGTTCTTGTCGGACCCGGCACTGTCGACCAGGTATTCCATGGATCCATTGCGAGCTTGTGGATTGATCACAGTCACTCTTTCTTTAGGCAAAAGCATTTGTTAGCCAGACACAGTTTCCCGGAGGTAGCTACAGATTTTTCGTCATCGCATTGTCTGATACAGCTGTTTTCCTCTCGTTTACAGAAGTTTATGCCGATCCAACCCATGCTTCATTTGAAGCGTTCCAATTCGTCTCTGGCGCGTCCACCATCTTTAATCCCAACGTACGCAAATCTATCTACGTGGTTGTTAGCTGAACTTACAGTGTCAAGGCTGCTATGCGAGTTATGGGAGCTCATTTAGAAGGCTATCGACAAGACTGGAGGCTCTCTTTTGAGAAAGATACTGTACAGAGAGGTGGCTGGTAAGGTCTCATTTCTAGAGCAACATTTCGCTTCCTCGCAGGCAGCAAGGAGGCATTAGCATTGCTGGGCCCGGGAAAGATCGGTTGCTCTACATCCACAAGGTTCGTCGTTGTGCTTTCGAAGTTATGTTTGCTTGAATTTTTTTTCTTTCATACAGGACAAGGAAGCAGGCGACGAGCCCGACATCAAAGAAGTCATAGCAGCATGTTGTGAGAAACAAAACTTGTCATGATGTAAGTAATCGCTGTCCAATCCTTTACATTCTTTTTGGTCCTTGCAGGCCTATTTCTCGCTGCAAGCTCTCAGTCATCTGCAAGCTTTGGACGAGACCTCCGTCCGCATTCATGTAAACAATGTTGGCAAGCAACACGCTCGCATAAGTGGCCGCTCTCGGGTTGGATCGAATCACTTCCTTGGCCGCTCGGACTCCCAGCTCCAGGTTGTTGTGGCTGCTACAGGCACCGAGCAAGCACATCCAGTCCGAAGAGCTCGGCTCAAACGGCATCGCATCGATCAAATCCTCGGCCTCCTCCAGATAGTTTGCCCGTCCCAGAAGGTCCACAATGCACGAGTAGTGCTGCTTGGTGGGAGTCAGAGAAAAGTCCGCTATCATCGAGAGAAAGCACTGCCGGCTGGTGTAGAGCTTCCCTGAATGGTTACAAGCGATCACCACGGACACGAAGCACGTCTCGTCGGGAGCTTCCACCAGCTTGAGCTTGTCATACGTATCCAACACTCTGGCGAACTGTCCGTTTTGAGCAAAGGCCGCGAGAATCGCCCTCCAAGAGATGATATCCAGCAGCGGTGACAGATCGAAGAACTTGGCAGCGCGATCGATATGCCCGTTGTGCGCATAGGCAGAAAACATGGTCGTCTGGGATCCAGCGTCTCTCTCCGGCATCGCATTGTACGCCATCTGGGCCTCGTCGCAGTAGCCGGACTGGCCGTACGCGAAGATCATCGTGTTCCACGAGACCAGGCTCTGAAGTGGCATTTGATCGAACGTAAACTTGGCTTCCTCGAGCTGTCTCGCGTGAGCGTACACTGCAATCATCGCATTCCATGCGATGGAGTTGCGCTCCGGCATTGATTCGAACACGCTCTTGGCGCTTTCGAGGTGGCCGATTTGGGTGTAGCTCGTCACCATTGTCGTCCATGAAACCAAGTCTCTCTCTGGCATTGCTTCGAATAGCTCCTTGGCTTTGAGTGTATGCCCGTTTTGGGCATATGCCGCAAGCATGGAATTCCACGAAACTAGATTTCTTTGGGGCATATGGTCGAACAAATTTCTAGCTTCCTCGACTTTTGCCTTGTGTGAGTAAGCTGCCAGGAGTGAAGTCCACGATACAAGATTCCTTTCTGGCATAGTCTCGAAGATTGTTTTCGCGTTTTCAGGGTGCCCACTTTGGGTATATGCTGCTAGAATAGAAGTCCAGACTACGATATTCCACATTGGCATCTTGTCAAAGGTATTTTTAGCTTGGGTTAGATTATTGGCTTTTGCATAGGCTGTAATAAGCATACTCCATGAGACGAGATCCCTTTCAGGCATTTTGTCAAATGTGTTTTTCGCTTTTTCAAGAAGACCGTTTTGGGCATATGCAGCAAAGAGGAAGAACCAGGAGAATGAATTCTTGTCACATTTCATTTCATTAAAGATGGACTGGGCCTGCTTTGGACTGCCACAATTCCCATACATTTCAATCAGTCTGTTGCAAACAATGATATCCTTAAGCTGTAAAAAGTATGGAATATAATTTTCGATACTGGCTGGACTATTGCATTTCCGTATTATCTCCAAGCAATGCTCTCTCTCTTGCATCTCTTAATATCATATTGTTATATAAATTATTATTGCTTTCAATATGAGCTTAGCAGTCCATGGTAGCAATGTAATGGTAAGAAGATTTGAGAAGACATGGATATTTTTGTGGTAAATTAGAAATTGCCCAGCAAATATTGGCCAGTTGACAAAGGTTATTGTTCAACACATGTCTCCTCCTCTCAATGTCCACTCTTTCTAGTTTTCCTTGCTCCATGCAACAGTGCCATCTTTTAAGGATAAGAACTTTTTAAAAAACGTCTACATACCTTTTCTAAAATTTATATTTGGTATGCTATTTTTGTCAGTGTAAATCTTATTTAACTTAGAAGATAATATAAAGTTTTATGTATAGAAAGTGGGAGTTACAATTTCTCAAAATCATGTTAGAAATATGCCTATATAATTTGGCAAATTTTACTTGTTACTACTGAAGTTCTGGTTATGAGGCAAAATATTCTGAGTGATAATTAAAGAATTAGAGTGGAAAATCACAACCGTTAGATTAAGGAACATCCAGATACACAGAAATAGATACCTAGGGATATCTCTTCTTTTTCCTTGAGAAACCAATTCAACAACAAAATTTCGTCTCCTAGATCAAACCAGCGAGTGAGGCAGCAGGACCAACGAGATCATCTGCAGGGCTTGGCATTCCTGGCAGGCTGGTTGGCGCAGCACCAGATGGTATATCAACTAGCCTCTCTTTGATATATTCCTTCAATCTGTGATTGCCCTTCCAGTTAATACACACACACACACACACATCAAGCAAGGAAAACTTACTCCAGGGCAACGCTTGTATCCGGAGTACCCACTGTGAGTCTTATTTGGGTCCGATCTGCCGGATCGGTTTCAATCCTTACCTGTAATCAAAGTGCGTGACACTGCCAACAAAAAGAGATAGCTTACCAAGCATAGAGTCGGGTTTTCCGAAAAGTAAGTTGCCGCACCAACGATGTTATTTACATTTGGATCCTGAGCAAAAGCCGAAAACCTCAGTGAATCTGGGAATGAAAACTAAAAACTCACATAGCCCGGAGCGATCGCAACGTGAAGACTACCAAGCAAGTCGGACATTTCTTGGAGCGGAAGAGGCTTCACCCCGCGTACCTGGAAAGCATCTGGATGTAGAGAGAGCACCTTAGAAAACACACCCTCACTCACCACTTCTTGCAGGAGCTTATTCGGAGGGCCCATAAGAGCTTTCCAGCGAGCAATATAGTCTGCAGGAGCTAGCGTTGCTCCTTGTAGGAACTTGCTCATAATAACGGGAAGCCGGAGCTTGAAGCTAACCTGGAACCGTAAAAATCAAACTCTAGTTTCCATTAGCTACGGGATGCAAGCTTACCATAGCTGACGAATTGTTGTAGCAAAAATCAAGGACAGGAATTTCTCTGCTTGGAGACAGGTTGGTGACTTCCACTGGACATTGTACCTGTTACAATGAACATCAACACGACGAGTTAGGATGAGTGACGAATGAAAAAAGAAAGAAAAACCTGTGCTCTAGGAGGAATTGTGTCAGGTACGTTCGATGTCAAGAGCTGCATGTGCCGGGGAGGTAATATCACTGCCTTCACCGATAACAATGGTGCAGTATGCTTATTGCCAAGAAACAAAACTATACGCCCTTGGTTACCACGCCATTCCGCTTTCAAACCAATCTGTAATAGTACATTATAGCAAGGAAAATAATAATCCGCTTGCCTGAATGAAAGGATCTTCATAAAGAATGCCGCTGTCTTTTCTGCAGAGCGCATCGAACCATTCCGTGACACTGCCGGTAGGCTGCAAACAGGACTTTGTAAGACTTGACAATCGTTTCTCAACATACCTGAACTGTCGAAGCCTGATTGTCCATGAGTGCTAGCGCCAGGGAATCACCTGGTCCAACTAGCGGCGAACTTTCGGGAGCACTGTGCGTAGGTGCAGCTTCAATAGCAAGAAAATCTACGGGAGCTGGTGACTGTCCACCATTTGCAACTGGGACAGTAGGCGCCTCCTGCCAGCATCCAAATGCTATAAAACATTTATAAAATCTGCCACGACTTACAATGTTTCTTTGCCCCGAAGGTACTCTTGTAAGCGCTGGATGAACGCCATTAGCAGGCTTTTGATCTGCTACAACGACAGCGGTTGATGTCAGCTGCATGAGCCTTAGTTTAGTAGCACTCGTATCAGCCACGTCCACTTCGGTGTCCTCGGCTTTCTTCAGAAGCGCAGACTGCAGAAACTTTAACACATGATTATGTGAATAGTAAGGAAGGCATAAAACCTGTCTTTCGGGGAACTTGGGCATCTCAGCCATCACGTCCACCATTGACGGGCCTTTCCGACTGAGAGCATAATATTCACTGGCTCGTTGCTGAACTTCCGCATCCAAGTAAGTTTCGTTCCTAAGAGGTAGACGTTAGTCCCCAACTCAGTAGAAAAACAGAAACATTACTTCCTGAAAACAGCTAGCACATGATTTTGCAGCTCCGGATCGACAGTTTGTGAATGCAGTAAAATCTTGATATAAGCTGAAAGAAGAATAGCCTTGGTAGGCGTCCTGTAGAAAGAGCTTGTTATACGGAGGAAGAATAAAGAAATGAAGCTTACGAAACGGTTGCGAATTTGTCATGGATAATGGAAAACACTTCTTTCGGACTACATCCTGGCCTTCGTGACAGTAAATGACTGTACTCCCCCAGCAAATAGCCAGCCACCTACATGGTTTAAACTTATCAAGGGAGTGAAAACAATGTAAACAAAATCCCACCTTCACCATAGTCTCGTGCACCGCCGGTTTGTCCAGAAAGTCTCGAGCTTTAGCGGCTGCGTACGGCTGTGAAGCACATGAGTTAAATGACAATAAAAAAACGCCATACCCACCTGCAGATCATCATTGTTTGTCACAAATTGGACTACTCTGTACCAAATGTCATCGCTAACGAAATCTCCAGCCTTCTCAATAAGCTGTAAGATAACATCCACGTACCTAGCCAAAACAATTCCTTATTAGCAACAGGGAGAGATTTCTTCAGATATCAATACCATGACAGATCCGGAGCGAATTTCTCAGCCAGAATGGCAGCCTTAAGCGCAAGCTCCTCACGTATTGCAAAATCAGCAGTTGTCAGATACTGCAAGGGTTTAAAAACAGTGAGGGATACATCTTAAAGCCGCAAGAAATACCTGCAAAAGCTCCTCAACAATATCTTTCGCATTTGTTACATCACACATTCCATAAAGCAAATCCAGAGATCGCCTTCGAATACTGCAAAGAGAAATACACTGAACAAGGAGATCGATAAAGATAATTCTAAACCTTATATCCGGGTCCCTCAAAGATGTGATTATCTGCACTTGATGCCTTTTTATGCTTTCTTGTACGTCAGAAACCATAAGCATTCTGGTCATATTTTCCTGCAGTGAAAAACAAGGTAAAGTATAGCGTAGGGCCACAAATATCCATACCAGTCCAAGATATCGAATGTTGGGCTCACGGACAGCAATAAACTTTCCAAGTAGACCAACACATTGTGCCATCATATCTTTCTCTGCGTCTAAATGCATCACCTGCGCGACAAAAAAAAGGCTCTTGAATGGAACAACAGAAAAAGAAAAAACCTACCAAAGCCAGAGCTTCAAAGAGAACAGCATGGGTTGCATTGTTCTTATTGATATTCTTCACGGCATCAGTTCCCATGAGGACTCTTTGAAGAACCTACACTTTGCAAAATGTGGCAAATGACTTTGATCGGTTTAAACAAGTTCAGAGCTACCTCAAAAAGGGATCGCCTAATGTTCGGATCATCAATCGCCGGGAAATATTGCAAAACTCGCATTGTTTTTACCTGCTCAAATCACTAAACAGAAAGAGTAAATATGGTGTTCCCAAAGTCAACCGCAAAAACATCGACGAAAAACAAACCTGGAGCCAAGGAGATGGAATACCGTAGTATGTGTACTCCTGAGGAATATCTTGGCTCCTGGTTAAGCGCTCCAGAACACGAACGCATTTTGAAACGCAGTTCCAGTACGCGTCGGGATTGTTAGCCACGAGAGCAACGAGCAAGCTCATGACAGCCGTAAGGACTCCAATTTCTCTTTCGTCAAGCAGCTGAGACATTCGATCCGCCCTGTCATGGAGATTAGTCCACAATCAGGAAGACAAGCCTCTTGAAATACCCACCAGCCGTCCACGCTGACAACATCCGGATTCTTCCTGTAAAGTCGCAGAAGACACAATGCAGCCTTCTTCCGCACCAGTGGCCGACAGGAGTTCGAAATCTAAAGCACATAGCGCCTAGGATCAAGAGACACCAGGCCGATAAAGAGAACTTACCAGCAGCTTTTGCACATCGGGAGCTAGTGACTCGGAAAACTCCTTGCCACCAATGTTCCCAACCTGGATAGAACTTCCGCCTAAGACGACAAAAACTCTGAAAACTACAGAAGCATACCATTGTCAGCGCCAGGCACTGAAATGTCTCGTTCCTTCCGATAATGTCATTCCGGACAGTGTTTATAACAAGCCGCAAGAAGTCGTGGTTTTCGTTCAGCAAAGAAGAGGTGACAATGTACCCCACCTGCGAGAACAAGTCTAGATTCCACCAAGACAAAACCAGGAACACTATTTACCTGCTTTTCAGCGTACTTGGGAGCTGAGATCAAAGACACAGCTTCCATATGCCCGAAATCGACATCATAACCAAGCATGAAGATGTAGAGCATCTTCCAAACGTATTTTTTCTTCTCATAAGGCGTCAATCCCTGGCGCAAGCGAGCAATCTTAGCAATCCGAGACGAAGAAACCCAAGCAGCAAGAAAAAGATCACTCACCTTGTCATTCTTAAACTTGGTGCGAATGTTCGCGAGCTCCTTGTCGACACGAGCCCGCTCCAGCTCCTTATTCTGGCAGTTCCTCACATCGCTGATGAAGACCGACAACCCTCGCATGCCGGACAGCGCCATCGCGCGCTCGCGGCGCCGCTAAAACCCTCAGATCTGGCCCTGCCGAGCTAAAGCCCCGAGAATGCGCCGCCGCTTCAACACCGCCGCGACACGAGCACCGAATGCATCGCCCGAGTTGCCGAAATTTCGCCCGCGCCGCGCCGCGACGGGCGCTGGTCGATTACCTGTGCCAGATCCCGCGCGAGAGGATGAGCATCGGATGGAACGCGCGGCGCCCGGCGACCTGGAAGAGCGCCGAGAAGAAGCGAGGGCTTTGAAAAGAAGAAAATTAACAAAACCTATTAACCATGTAGCTTATAAATCTAATTATTTATCACTAAACTCAATTAGTGACAATTAATGCAGGTTAACAATCTCTTATGGATACGAGCAAAATTTCTTTCCATGGTTTCCATTTTATCCCAGCTTTAAGATTGGGTCGCTACTTTGGAGCTTTCTTCTTCCATGCGCTGCTTGGCATCGCTTCGTGCCCTGTTAACCAGTTCCTCGATCGCCTCCCTACCTTCGTAGTATTGCGGGCAGTACTTCTCAAAATTGCTGAAGTGTTCTTCGGCTTGATCTAGTTCTCCCAGCATGCAGCAAACCAGCCCCTGGAAATCGAATCACCAGTTTGGCAAACTTTACAACCGAGAAGGAAGAACAAGAAAAAGAGAAAAGCCTTTTTTACTTGGCAGACGTGTGGACGGAAGTCTGTCGGATCCTCCTTGCTCAGCTGCTCGTAGAGTTCCAGAGCTTGTGGCAATTCTTCCTGGACGAACGCAAGCTTGAAGAGATGAGAGGTTTCTTTGATCTAGAAATGGATCTTTACCTTGAGAGTGAGGAGCTGGCCTCTGAGCATCCGGAAGTTCCTCGCGTCCTTGGGCCTGTCCTCTTCGGTGGCCTTTGCCGCGGCGTCCTCCACGATTTTCTGGATGAAATCGATGTCTTTGCCTTGCTTCTTGAGAACCAACGCAAGGCCCTGTCAAGAGCAAGAGACAAACAAACAAAAAATCACTCCTTGCAAAAGAGAAAGTTCTCTAAAGCTTACTTGGAGTGCTCGAAGGGACAGAGGGTCCACCTTCACGGCATCCTCAAACTCCTTGAGAGCGTTGTCCAAATCTCCAATGTACTCATAAGCGTGGCCGCGGATGAATCTAAACTCTAGCTGCGACGGATTCATGTCGATGAGCTTGGAAAGGACCTTGATCGCCGCTGGCATGTCCCTCTTCTCCATGAATCCGTGGAGCCGAGTGAGATCATCCAAGATCTCCTCCTCCTCCTCCTGCGTTCTCCTCCTCAAAGTCTTCTTCTTCTCTGGAGCGCCTTCTTTTTGCTCCACAGCCGTGGTAGTGGCCACATTCTCGTTAGCGCTGGCTATGGCTTCCTCCGCCCTGGCAACTCTACACGAATTCATGCCCGCCGCGAGCAAAAGGGCCGAGCTCCCCAAGAACAAAGCCGCGATTCTGCGAACCCTGTCCTTCAGAGACCTCTCTTCCACCGCCGATGGAAGCCGCGAGCACTGCGGCCGCGATCTCGACAGCGATCGCCTTCGTCCGCTACTGTCTGGCGCAGCAAACCTGATCGATCCGGGAGACGAAATCTCAAGCCTCCTGGAGCTCCGCACTGCCGCCGGCAGAGGCATTCTGGAAGCTCTTCCCAGCGCATGCAGCGCCAAAGCCGTAGACGAGGCGATCTCCATCGCGGTCGCTTTGCTAAAGCCCTAACCCTAAAATGATAAACCCAGCGTTATGGATCTAACGGCTTGGAGTACGAAAAAAAAGAATATAGTTTTAACAAGTATCTTTTGTTTAAACTAATAAAAACTTATGAAGATGGGTACCTGTCGATTGCAAATCAACCACTCTACCATCTGGGCTACATGCCCTAATGATGAAACTTATGTTTAAAAACGGCTTTGTTTGTATGTAAGTAGGATTTAGTCAAAGATATTGAAGAAATACAAGAAAAAATCAAGCTTAGTGCCACAAGGATTTAAGATGCATTGCTTATGTTGGGATTCAGAGATCAAGTAAGCTTTGTTTAAACTCAATCAATAATTGTGTACTTTCAGAAAGTAAGGCATTGTAAGTTGCACAAATAGGACAACTTCCATATCTCCAATATGAGACGAGTATGTAGAATTTAAAAAGTGTTAGCAGTTATAGGTAGGCTATTCTAAGTATTTTTGGTTGGCTATGGATATCCTTTATACAAAACTATGTAAGGTTTGAATAGATGAAATCTATGGTGGATTAATAATATTCTAGTTCAATTATTATACATACTTATGAACATTATAAAAAAACTTAAAGTAAGAAAAAAGTAAATTAATATCAAAATAAGATAATAGAATGGTCATAAAATAAATATTAAATGAACCATATTTAGAACAAGTAAATTACAATACCTTAATAATTTAATATTATAAACTATTAAGGTATATACTTTATATATTGGAGGAATATTTAGTAGTCTATTTGACCAAACACAACTCTTATATTTTTTAAAATATAATTTATAAAAAAAAGTTAATGTAGCTAATTTTAAAGATATTTAAAAATAAGTGATTTAAAACATTATAAAAATAAATATAGAGTTTTAAATATTTTTATCTATAATGTTCATCATTATGATATATATTGTGTTTATTTTATTAGTTAATTTATTTCTACAATATTAAGCATAAATGTTGAATGGGGATAAATAATATATTTACTCAAAATAATATGGCAACAATTATTTTAATCATTAATTTCAAAATTTTATCAAGGGTACTGACTTAATAAATAATATAAAATATCTAATAAACTATAAAAATATACAAGAAATTAATTTTGGTAGAATAGTTATAATTATAAAATTTAGAAGTATGATTTAATCAGAAGAACAAATATCAAATCAATAGCTCAACATTTTTTTTACTTAGCTTTTGTTAAAAAATGTAAAAGGGGCTATACAATAATTGGAAATAAAACAAAATCTAACTAAAATAAAATCTGAAAATTTACTTAATTAATTTTCATTTAAGTATATTCATGTTCAATTAAATTTATGATTGCCCTGTACGTCCACTATTAACAGTTTTTGAGCTTGCTTAGCCGAGCTTGAAAACATTTTAAAAAGCTTAGTAATATTTTTTTTGCCTAATTGTATCACTTTCTACTTCATCTAGTTGACATAGTAAGTAATGACGATATTCAAATTTTAACCATTATCCTCGTCCCTAAAATCTTTCTTTAAATCATCATTGAAGTGGTGCCCATCTGAGCCCAAGTCCAAATTCTTTTCCTCACCCTCCTCTAAGTTTATTCCCTGCTCTTGATTCTTTGATAAAATAATTATAATTTATATCTTCAAAATTACTTGGTTTTGATATAATATTTATTGAGAGTTTAAGATATTTATTTTTAGTGGCGAGAAGTAAGTTCCAGAATTCAGGGAAAATATTTTGTCCAAAGAGTGTTCTTTAGCAAGAAAATAATCCACATCTAAACTTTTTAGCTTTAAAAAATTTTATATTTATCATTTCAAGCAACATAAAATTCTCATTTGAATAGTGAAATGAAAATTAACTTATTTCATAAAACCAAATTCATAAAATTGTCATAATTGATTCTAACCAACTACCAAAATATAACTCTATGTCAAATGTCAATAGTGATAAATATTTTTAATAAATTTATTAGATAGTTTTAATAACTTTGAATATTAATAATCAATAAGCACAACTTACTTTGCATGAGAAATTAAAGAAAATTTTTTTTTATGATGTTGTCAATAAAGTGTTGAAGAGGTTTTGACATCATTTTCATTTAGCATCAGATTCTTTTTTTGCAATGAACAATTTATTCTAAAACATCACTCTGATACCAACAAGTGTTTGAGAAGCTAATCATAAACCATATATATATTTATACTTACCTATATATACTTATAAATATTATAAAAAAAACTAATGTAAGAAAAAATATATAATAAGATAATAGTATGGTCATAAAATAAATTATAAATAAACAATATTTAGAACAAGTAAATTATAATATCTTATTTATTTAAGGAAAACTTAGTAGTTTATATGACCAAATATAACTTTTAAATTTTTAAAATATAATTTTGTAAAAACATATTTGTAACTACTTTTAAAGATATCTAGAAAGAAGTGATCTAAAACATTATAAAAATAAATATAGAGTTTTAAATATTTTTATTTATAATTTTTATCATTGTGTTATATATTCTTTTTATTTTATTAATTAATTTATTTTTACACCTTTAAGCATAAATGTTGTATGGGGATAAATAATATATTTACTCAAAATAAGATGGTAAAAATTATTTTAATCATCAATTTCAAGATTTTTACGAAAGTATTGACTTAATAAATAATATAAATATTTGCTAAATTATAAAAATTTACAAAAAATTATTCTTGGTAGAATAATTATAATTGTCAAATTTAGGTGTATGATTTAATCAGAAGGACAAATATCAAATCAATAGCTCAACTTTTGTTTTACTTACCTTTTGCTAAAAAATGTAAAAGGGGCTATACAAAAATTAAAAATAAAACAAAATTCAACCAAAAAAATTTTACTTAATTTATTTCATTGAAGCATGCTTTAATAATTTTTATTTTACATCTAGATTATATTAAAAAAATTGATTTTTTATTTGGTGACCACCTAGATTAGGACTGCATATAGAATATATTTCTCTATTTTTTATAACAAAATATCAAATATATAAATATAAGGATAACTATAATTAATAATATTAAATGCTGGATTTAAAAATAATAAATAAATTTAAAGTGTCATTAAATAGGAAAAATATATTACTAATATAAAATAATTGTAAGATTTATATATATTTCCAATGATGATAGAAGCCTATGCTTATCCTTACAAAATCATGCTTAGAGTTTCACATGATCATGAGTAATGAATATAGTTTATGTTGTGAGGGCCAAATGTATGGCTACGATGCTGTATACTAAAATTAGCATAATGGGATTTTGGTAGCCGTCGGATTAATTTCAATCTGGACCACTCGCTCTTGTATATAAGCTAGGGTTTTTAGGCTAATTGATATACACATTTCTGTATTCCCTTTCTATATTCCAAGCACTCACATTGGTGGAGTTGAGGGGCACCTTTGATTGTCCTTGAGGGGTGCTTGGATTTGGGATTTTGGTTTAGATCTAGCTTTTGCATTGTCTAGATCTAGCTTTTTCCATTTCCTTCTTTTTGTTCTTTTCTTTCAGGATTTTGGTTTAGATCTAGCTTTTTGCATTATCTAGATCGACCATTTCCTTCTAGCTTTTTGTCATTTCTCTTCTTTTGCTCTTTCTTTTTCATTCGTCTCCATGGCAGATCAGCAATCTCCTCCTTTGACTCTCGAGCAACAGTTGGTCCAATTGCTTGATGCTATGCACTTGCAATTGAACAACCAAACTCAATTGATGGTGACATTCACGGCACGTGGTCCAACTCCTCCTGCTCTTGGTGCCAATCCTCGCGTTCGGCTGGAGTTCTTTCGTGGGAATCCCGGGGATGATGTGTACCATTGGTTCGATCACTTCACGGTGATTGCCATATATCATTCTTGGGATGATGCTCGACGTTTACGTGAGTTTCCCACGTGTCTCCAAGGGACGGCGTTGTAGTGGTACAATGGATTGAGTGCGGCCACTCGTGAGGATTGGAGTGTTCTTCCTGACGTCTTCAAACGCGCCTTCGGACATGCCGATGATTGTGACGATGCCTTCCAACAATTGCATCGTCTTCGCCAAGGGCCATCTGAGTCGGTGATGCAATTTGGCGTTCGTTTCCGAAGTCTTTTGCTTTGTGCGGAGCCCAATATGTCAGAGCGGATCAAGCTAGGAATGTTGTGGCCAGCACTTCGTCAAGATCTTGTCGGCCTTGTGCATGCACTTGCTCCTGCCACCCTTGACGATGCTCTTCGCTTGGCACAACATTATGAGACGTCACCTCTTCCACTTCTCGCTGCACGTCCTTCCACTCCACTTTCTATGAGTGATGGTCCTGTTCCCATGGAGGTTGATGCTGCTGCTACTCGAGTCCAAGGACAAGGACGAGAACGTGGTCGTGGCCGTGATGTTCGTTGCTGGGTGTGTGATGAAGTTGGTCATACTTATCGGCGTTGTCGGCGCTTTCCAGATTGGCGACCTCCATTTCCTGGGTGGAGACCTTGGCGTCAACAACGTCCCGTTGGTGCTGCTGCAGTGGAAGGTTTGGACACCGAGATGAATCCGGGAAATGAGGAGTCGCGCGAGTAATGGAGGGACCTTGCACGAATAAGTCAGTGACCCCTCCATCTTTCTTTCGGGAGTATCATCAAGGGGTTCACTCGGCACCAGTTCATCCAGTGTTTACTTTTCAAGCTCATCTTTATAACAAGAGGTCTCCTATTATTTTCTCCGTGTTGGTTGATACAGGTTCGAGTTTATCTTCTATTGCTCGACCTGTTGCCACACGTTGTCATCTACACTTGCGTCGTGCGGCGGAACCAGTTTTCATTCTTTATGGCAACGGCCGTACACATGCATGTGCACGGGATGAGGCAGACCTGGTTGTGCGTGTGGGCAATCTCGAGCTTGAGTTGCAGTCGTTGCGGGTGGTGCCGAGTCAAGCTTTTGACCTCATTCTTGGTATGGATTAGTTGCAACGCAATCATGCCAAGTGTGACTTTGAGGCTTCTCCCCGTTGTCTCATACTTCCTTATGTTTCCTCCATTTCTCTCACATCCGTACCTCTTTGTCCCTCTACTTCTACCTCTGCTTCCATTACTTTTGTTCCCCCACTATTTCCTCCTGTGTTTCCATCTTGTTCTGCTCTTCCCTTTTCCAATCCCTCCAACGATCTTTGTGTTGCAGCAGTTGATCGGCTCATGAAGGAGTATTCTGATCTCTTTGACTTTGACCTATCGTCTGGAGCCAAGATTGCTACACGTCATCCGATTCCAACTGGGGATGCTCGTCCAATCAAGGTTTCTGTTCGTCGTCGGTCACCAAAGGAGATCAAGATTTTACATGCAAATGTCCAAGAGATGTTGGAGAAGGGTGTTATTCAAAAGTCGCGAAGTCCTTGGGCATGTGAACCTCATCTTGTGACGAAGCCTGATGGGAGTATTCGTTTCTGCATCGACTATCATCCATTAAACGACGTAACGATCCCGGATGTGTACCCTCTTCCTCACACTGCTAATCTCTTGGATCGTCTGGGGTGAAGTCGTTGATTCACCAAGCTAGATCTTGCTTCTGGGTACTGGCAAGTACCGATGACCGAAGAAGATATTCCTAAGACTGCTTTTCGTACACCATTTGGTTTGTATGAGTTCTTGGTGATGCCATTTGGTTTGAACAATGCTCCAGCAACTTTTCAACAGATGATGGATGAGGTTCTTTGCGATATGCCGGAGGTGACTGCTGACTTCATTAATGATGTCTTGATCCACTCGGAGGGGATGTGGGAGGAGCACGTTCGTGATGTTTGTAAACTGTTGGATCGGCTACGCGATGTTGGTTTAAAGTTAAAGCGGTCGAAGTGCGTGTTTGGATCCAAGGACACAACTTATCTTGGGTACCGTATTTCTCGTGAGGGTTTGCAAGTTGATCCTGACAAACTTGTGGCTGTTCTAAAGTTCCCTACTTCGAAGTGTGTGAATAATGTGCAGCGCTTCTTGGGCAAGGTGCAATATCTCGAGCGTTTTGTGGATCATCTTTCTGATCACACTGCACTATTGCGAGCATTGCTGAAGTCATCAATATCATCTTTCATCTGGTCTCCGGATTGTGAGCGGGCGTTTGGGGATCTCAAAAAGTTATTGACAACTCCTTCGGTTTTGGGATATCCTGACTACACTCGACCTTTTATTTTGTGCGTGGATGCTTCTGACATTGGTCTTGGAGGTGTGTTAATGCAAGAGAGCTCGAGTGTGCCTGGTCAGTGCCATCCCATTACATATATAAGCCATACATTACAACTAGCAGAGATGAACTACTCCACGACAGAGAAAGAGTGTTTAGCAGCAGTTTGGGCTTTCGAGAAATTTCATGCATATCTACATGGTTCTCGGACGTTACTTGAAGATGACCATGCTGCTGTTACTTCGTTATTAAAGCGAAAGAACCTGGTTGGTTGTACTGCTTGATGGGCTTTGAAGTTTCAGATATATGATTTTGATGTTGTTCACTGCCCAGGGAGTTCTATGGCTGATGCTAATGCCCTTTCTTGAGCTCCTCTTCCTTCTTCATTCTCTTCTCATGTTTCTGACGAGCCTGTCGTTCCAGCATTTATGGATTTTCTAGATGAGGATTCTGTGCCGTCGGCGGTTGCTATACTTGACGTTCAATGTCCACAAGGTGCAGAGCAAGATCTACCTTCACTTGATGAGGTTCGCGAGGCTCAAAAGATTGAGCCATGGATTCGAAGGCTTCGAGATGGGTTTGAGAATCCTACATCACTTGCTGATGACTTGCCTTTCTGGCATTTACATTCTCAATATCGTCTTGAAGGTGGCCTTCTTTATTTTGTGGGGACAGATCCTGATGATCATTTACCGTTGGTGGTGCCTTCTATCTTTATTCCGCAGTTTCTCCATGCCTACCATGATTCTCCTGTTTTAGGTGGGCATATGGGACATCGTCGTGTAATTGAGAAGCTACGCAGGTCTTTTTATTGGCCGGAGATGCGACGTGATATTATCCGGTATGTGCGTAGTTGCGTTTGGTGCCAAGCTCGTAATACTCCCCCTCAGACTGCGGAAGGACGGTTGGAGTCAATTGCAGTTTTCCGTCCGTTTGAATTGGTGGCATTTGATCTTATGGGACCTTTTCCACGGTCAACTGCTGGCAATGAGTATGTTATTATTGCTTCTGACTATTTGACTCATTGGGTGGAAGTTGGTGCTCTTGCTAATGCCTCTGCAACTGCTGTTGGATACTTCCTCCTCAATCGAGTGGTGTTCTAGCATTCTTGTCCAGAGCAGATTCTTTCGGATAATGGTCCCGCTTTTATGGCTGAGGCGTTTCATGTTTTGATGTCTCGGTTGGGGATTCGCCACACTTTCACGAGTGCTTATCATCCACAATCAGACGGTCTGGTGGAACAGCTCTTTTGGACGTTCAAGGGGATGATTGCGAAGTATATGAACTTTCAGCATTCGGATTGGGATGGTTATTTGCCGTCTTTTCGGTATGCATATGTCACTGGGGTGCAGAGTTCTGTTGGTGCTTCACCATATAAACTCCTATATGGTCATGATTCAATATTACCAATGGAGCTGGGTTTACCTTCGCGATTGCCACGAGCTGTGGATGCTAGGTCATGGGATCAATATTTGACAAGCATTTTTCCACTTGTCCGAGCGGAGTCTGCCGAACACTTAGGCCACATACAAGTGGGACAACAACGGTGCTACAACTCCCGTCATCATCCACCTATGGAGTACAAAGTGGATGATTTGGTGTTAGTCCGTTTTTCCCATCTTACGGTACGTGGTTTATCTAAGGGGCTCCTTGCACAGTGGAAAGGACCGTATCGGGTGTTGCGGCAAGTTGGACCACAAGTTTATGAGGTTTGGCATGACGTCTAGCAGGCCGATCCTCCAGAGATTGTGCATGTGCAGTGGTTGAAACACTTCATACAAAGGGATCAGGAGCAGTTAATACCATCTACAAATCCGCCGATGCCTCCTCCTGATGTTCCTCTAGATCCCGGCCCGTCTACAAAAGAACCCTGATGGTCTTCCATTATCCTAAGAGGGGGGGATGATGTGAGGGCCAAGTGTACAGCTATGATGCCGTATACTAATATTAGTGTAGTGGGATTTTGGCAGCCGTCGGATTAGTTTCAATCCGGACCACTCGCTCCTGTATATAAGCTAGGGTTTTTGGGCTAATTGATATGCACATTTCTGTATTCCCTTTCCATATTCCAAACACTCACAATTTGTATTAATTGTTGAATAAAAAATAACATGTAAATTTAAAAAATTGTTTAATCTACATAAAATTGACATTCCTTTCTTTGTAATATAATTGTAATTTATATGTTCAAAATTACATGGTTTTGATATAATATCTACTGAAAGTTTAAGACATTTATTTTTGCGACAATCTATTGCCTGCTAGAGGTTCCAAAAGAGAGGCTTATCACTATAGTCATAAAGAGGTTGGGAGGTGGCTGCACCTGTGAGATTGCAAAATCTCTACTTTATTATTCAGGTCGCAGTTTCAGCATGCTGGACAAGGTAATCCAGGCAGTGCACACAAATGAGTTCATGGCTGAACAAGCATGGATTGCATTCTTCGATGCTCCTGCACTCTTCAATGACGGTGACAAAGTTTGTTGTGGTTCGGTTTTGTTGCTGTGGTTACTGAAATGCTACATTCTTAAGAGCTCTGGAGGACTTGCAGGTGGAGAGGAAGGACTGGAGACTTTTTTATGGCCGTTGCTTGGCCAGCACAAACACTGTCTGGAACTAACTGCCGATAGGGCCAAGGTGTTTACTTTGTGATCAGTTTAGGGTTTATCTATAACTTTGTGGGCCGTCGGGAGCCACCATTTTCAAGACACGACCACCATTTTCCCGGTGTCTTGAGTGCTATATGCTGCTCGAAGAAGGACGAAGAACTGAGATCCAAAACCTTTTAACTTGTGAAGAAACTACACGGAGATAATACAATAGTCCAGGCAATATCGGAAATTCTATTCCATACTTTCTACAGCTTAAGGATATCATTGTTTGCAACGAAATGTATGGAAATTCTGAAAGTCCAAAGCAGGCCAAGTCCACCTTTGATGCAATGAAATGTGACAAGAATTCATTCTCCTGGTTCTTCCTTTTTGCTGCATATGCCCACAACTTAATGAAGTAGCGAAAAACGCATTTGACAAAATGCCTGAAAGGGATCTCGTCTGTTGGAGTGCCCATGCAAAAGCCAATAATCTAACCCTAGCTAAAACGACCTCTGACAAGATGCCAATGAGTCCTTGAAAACAATCTTCGAGACTATGCCAGAAAGGAATCTTGTATCGTGGACTTCACTCCTGGCAGCTTACTCACACAGGGAAAAAGTCGAATATGCCCCAAAGAAATCTAGCTTCGTGGAATTTCATGCTTGCGGCATATGCCCAAAACGGGCATACACTCAAAACCAGGAGCTCTTCGAAGCAATGCCAGAGAGAGACTTGGTCTCGTGGACGACAATGGTGGCAAGCTACACTCAAACCGACCACCTCGAAAGCGCCAAGAGCGTGTTTGAATCAATGCCGGAGCGCAACTCGATGGCATGGAAGGCGATGATCGCAGCTCACGCGAGACAGGTGGAGGAAGCCAAGTTTACGTTCGATCAAATGCCACTCCAGAGCCTGGTCTCGTTGAACACGGTGATCTTCGCGTACGGCCAGTCGGGCTACTGCGACGAGGCGTACAATGCGATGCCGGAGATCCCCGACGACCATGTTTTCGGCCTACGCGCACAACGGACACATCGATCGCGCTGCCAAGTTCTTCGATCTGTCGCCTCTTCTGGACATCATCTCTTGGAGGACGATTCTCGCGGCCTTTACTCAAAACGGACAGTTTACCAGTGTTGGATACGTATGACAAGCTCAAGCTCCCGACAAGACGTGCTTCGTGTCCGGAGAGCGGCAACTTATGCGAGCGTGTTGCTTGCCAACATTGCTTACATGAATTCGGACGGAGGTCTCGTCCAAAGCTTGCAGATGGCTGAGAACTTGCAGCGAGAAATATGCCTGCAAGGACCAAAAAGAATGAGGCAGCAGTAAAGGAATGGACAGCGATTACTTACATCATGACAAGTTTTGTTTCTCACAACATGCTTCTATGACTTCTTTGATATCGGGCTCGTCGCCTGCTTCCTTGTCCTGTATGAAAGAAAAAAAATTCAAGCAAACATAACTTCAAAAGCACAACGACGAAACCTTGTGGACGTAGAGCAACCGATCTTTCCCGGGCCCAGCAATGACAATTCCTCCTTGCTGCCTGCGAGCACGCGAAAGGTCTCGCTCTAGAACGAAATGAGACCTTACCAGCCACCTCTCTGTACAGTATCTTTCTCGAAAGAGAGCCCCCAGTCTTGTCGATAGCCTTCTAAATGAGCTCCCATAACTCGCATAGCAGCCTTTGACACTGTAAGTTCAGCTAACAACCGCGTAGATGGATTTGCGTACCTTGGGATTAAAGATGGTGGACGCGCCAGAGACGAATTGGAACGCTTCAAATGAAGCATGGGTTGGATCGGCATAAACTTCTGTGAAACGAGAGGTGTATCAGACAATGCGATGACGAAAAATCTCATGTAGATACCTCCGGGGAACTGTGTCTGGCTAGCAAATGCTTTTGCCTAAAGAAAGAGTGACTGTGATCAATCCACAAGCTCGGAATGGATCCACGGAAATACCTGGTCGACAGTGCCGGGACCGACCAGAACAAGCGACACACCAGCACCATCGAACACTTCCTGCAACGAAAAGCATATATCGTAAGAGCATAAGGAAGGATACGTTACCTTCTTCGATGCTAGAACATCAGCCCGTTTGCGACAGAGGATACACCTGATGATCAAAGAGAAAGAAAGAATAAAAGCGACTTCTTGTCAAACAGAAGTCATACCCAAAATGCCGAGCAAAGGCAACGACAGCAGTTCGATCCTTCCACAAATCAGTCAGAGAGATCACATTGCCCGAAAGATCCAAAACGCTGGCATCGGTCGAAATTCCTAGCAGGAAACAAGAAATCTTAGCTCCAAACGCTAAGAAAGAAAAGCATACCAGGCATAAGAGAATCCGCTGCTGCCGCGGCTGCTGCCAATCCGCGCCATCGCCGCTTGCATCCGAGGATCGGCCGCGCCTTCTCCCACCGAAACTCACAGATCGATCGCCGCGACAAGAATCCTCGCGCTGGATCATCTGCGCTGAGGGTTTTGGCGGAGCAAAGAAGAAGAGCATTGTGAGAATAAGAAAGAACCGTCGCCATAAGGTTTCAATGGCTGTAAACTTGCCACGTGTACGCTCGAGGTTTGTGGTGATTTTCCAATGGAGGGAGAGGACGCTGCTTCTTCCATGGACATGGCGGCTAGGGCTCTTCCGGCCGCTGCCGCCGTGCAAGCTCTTCGATCGGTCTACGAGCGTGTGAGAGTGGCAGCTGAGCGCTCCGGGCGATCGGCCTCCCAGGTTGGTGTCGCATTGCCCGATCGATCGATCGTATAGCTGAAATCGATCGCTTCCTAGGTCAATGTGGTAGCAGTGAGCAAGACGAAGCCAGTGTCGCTGATTCGAGAGGTATACGACGCTGGGCATCGGCATTTTGGGGAGAATTACGTGCAAGAATTCATCGACAAGGCTCCACAGGTGAGATTGGTAGCTTAAAATCACGGAGATCATTTTATCCTTTTCTTTGATCTTCCTGTTTGCAGCTTCCCAGTGACATTCGATGGCATTTTATTGGACATCTCCAAAGCAACAAGGCAAAATCCCTTGTAGGTGAGTAGGAAAACTTTCTTTGTTTTCCATTGTGATCGATCGCTCTCATTTTGTCTTGCTGTTCGTAGCCAACGTTCCTCAGTTATATATGGTGGAAGGGATTGACAACTTCAAGGTCACAACTTCTTAGTTTTTCCGCTGAGAGTGTTTTGAGAATTCCCTCTTTTCTTTAGGTGGCGAGTCTCTTGGATCGAGCAGTGTCGCTCCTTCAAAGGAATCCTTTGAAAGTCCTGGTTCAAGTAAATACCAGTGGTGAAGAATGTAAGAACTTCTTTCTCCTTTTTTCTTCTTTAGCTGATCGCTATTCACTTGAACAGCAAAGTCGGGAGTTGAGCCTTCGGCGTGTGTGGAACTTGCGAAGCAGATCAAAGCGGACTGTCCGAACTTGGAGTTTTCAGGATTGATGACAATCGGTATGCAGGATTACACATCAACGCCAGAAAATTTCAAGGTATACTGCTCCGCTTCCTTCCGTGGATCTCAACCTTTGGTCCGAATTTTTTGTTCTTCCCGTGGCAGGCTCTTGTAAATTGCAGAGAAGACGTCTGTAAGGCACTCGAAATTCCGCAGAGCTCTTGCGAGCTTTCCATGGGAATGTCCGGTGACTTCGAACAAGCGGTTAGTCTCTTTTCCTTTCCTTCGTCTTGTCAATGATCGATTGATGGAGATCTGGTTCCTCTCAGATCGAGATGGGAAGCACCAACGTGAGGATTGGATCCACAATCTTCGGAGCTCGAGAGTACCCAGCAAAGAAATAGAAATGGAGGCAATACACTAAAGATCGTCAAGAACAAGAACACGAGCAAATTCGCTGTACAGAATCCATGTCAAAGGATCGGAATTTATGGAGAGCAAAGCTTTTGGGGAACTTATCTTAGTCAAGATCACGAAAGCTTGTCCATATCCCAAAGCGCTAAAGCTTCCTCTGACACGAAAGTAACACTATTATAAACTAGATCTCCGAGAGTTTTTCCCCGGGATCTCTCTTTTTCTCCCCCTTCAATCACTGACACCACCACTACGTACAAGGATAAGACTTTGCTTGGCCCTGGATTGGAGCTTCGTTCTAGCAGCGAGGATTGGGAAGCGCTCCATGGTCGCAATTGGAAGCCGGCATCCAGTGATACTTGGTCTTGAATCCATTCCCAGCGCGCTCCATCACTGGGTCTCGCACCCACTGATCGATCGTGAAGATCTCGCGGCTCACGCACTTGTTGCTCCCGGATTGCCTCACCGAGACGTTGAGGCCCTTGACGTACCACGAGGAGCTCGGGTACTTGCCGTTCTGGGTCACCTCCACCTTGCAGATCCGGCCGATGCAAGCGTTGGTGGCCACGAATCGATCCACGGCGTTGCGCTCGAAGTTGTTCCCGGGGCGCTGGAGCTGGAAGTTGAGGGACTGATCGGCGGAGTTGGCCAGGCGGAGGAAGACGTCGGCGTCGGTGCCCGCGCCTTCGCGATCGCCAGTGAAAACTTCCACCATGTATGTGCATTGCCCCTGAAACAGAGACGCGAACAATCAAGATCACAGTGGATCTCCAAAGAAATCATCAAGAAGAAGAAGAAGAAAGAAGCACTGGAGGAGGAAGAAGAAGAACTAGAAGAAGAAAAATAAAAGAAGTTTTGGGTTCTTACATTGGTACGCGGTATGATCGTTGTGATCGCGACCAAGAACAACACAAGCCTCATTCTTTCAAGAAACTTGGAGAAAAAGCGTCCAAGCAAACAAACTTGGAGAAAGAATGTGGCTAGAATTTCTCCCGAACAAGTTATAAGAGAGCTTTTTCGCGCATTAAATTTGCAGCTTTATGTACCCATGTGATGGGGCATGTGGTTTCTGGTCACCGCACATGTAAGGTTCTCAAGAACCCTAAAAGCAGAGCGCCCAAATTCTAAATCCCTAAAACAGAGCATTTTCAATCGAAGACTCTCTTGTGCGATAGGGTTCTTGGCATTTTGATATCTCGCGTGGAATGGAATGTTGGAATGCATGTTGGGTTGCAAGGAAATGTGCAATCAATCACCAATTGTGGTGGATTGCAATCAAAATTTACACACAGTCCTTATTAATGATAATACACTGACTTCAGAAAAATATTCATGTATCCTCTCCACAATCTTAAATCCTTTCGTGGCCACAAAATCTAAAATAAAAAGAATTGACAATGCTCTTGGAAGAAAATAAAAAATATTGCAAGAAAATTAACAATGCACCCATAGATAAAAAATTTAGAGCTAGATGCTACACTCAAAACATACAAGAGTGCAGAAAGATCATGGTTGGTGGGTTATTTCTTCTATAGGTAGAAATTTTATGTTTTTTACACAAAAGAAAAATTGAGTTTTTTTTAGGAAGAGAAAAACTTTGGCACTTGCTCTTTTCATGGCCTATTTAACATTTATGATAATTAGGTTTGGGTGCTTGAAATTACTAAATTTGAAATTCTGAAAGGAAAATTAAGTTTGAGCCTGGATTTGGCAAGAGAAGAGGAAGGTTTGGTCCTCCTATATGTTATAAATATGGAACATGTCAAATCTCATAAATTTTCATAAAAAGTTGTATAACTTTTAAAAATTATTATAAGTTTACAAGTTTTTACAAAAACTTTTCTCATATATTTTCAAGCCATGGCCATAGATGAGCATATGCCACCTATGCAAAATAGATAAGATAGCTGCAAATTTCTAAAGGATTGTATTGCATCAAGGTGGATTTCACATTTCGCAGCAAGATATAGATGGATGCAAATTTATATTATAAGAAGACTACTAGAACCCAAAATACTACAAATGTGACTAGGGTGACTTTATGCGTAACTACCCATGCCATGATCAATCATTGACTTTGTTATTGTTATGCTTTATTGTTTGTTGTGATTGACCAACTAATTGTGCAAATTTAGCTTTTTCTATGAGAATGTGGAGGAAAATTGCTACTGCTATACTGTTGTGATGGTGGAGAATAGAGCCAAGGAGTAGTGATGAAGTTGTCCTCTTCAAAACTTACAAGTGTTCTTGTAATTTCCACCTGCCGAAATTTCGGTGTCAATTAAGTTAGATGAGAGATCCCATAAAAGAAAATTGGGGCAATTAAATTCAATGTTGTTTGAGCTAGGAGGGGCACTTGCAACAATGTCTAACTCCACACTTCACTCCACCCAACTCCATGGTTGCCTTGCCATTTTCTAAGCTCACACTTTGATACTTTTGAAACTCTAAATCAAATTACTTAACAAGGTAGCATATGTGCCATCTATGTGGTATAATCCCATAAAACTCATGCCATGGCAATATCACATAAAGTCACGTTTTGATTGCTCTTATAGTAATCAAAAAGTTTTTGAAACTTTGCAAAACTTTCACAAACAAACAAAAGTGAATACAAATAAATTTCTCAAAACAAAAACCAAATTTGGCATCCTGAACTTGATAATCACATATCCATCGCAATAGCCTAGGAGCATAAAAAGCCAAATTGCTAGTGTTTAAGTCTTTTTCAAAGGCTAAATTTTTCAAAGCTGCTACATGTTTTGCCAATAAGTGATAACAACATTAGCTCCAATTGATATTTCAGGATATATTATTATTTTCAAGTTTCAACATTAGTTATTCGTCTGTTATTTCTCCTCTTTATAACTAATATTACCATTTCCACCAGTAATAGGAAAGCAAGAAAGAGTCCATCATAAAAACCATCCTATTTCTCCACCTTCAATCAGAATATATGCTATCATATATTGGGATCATAGGTAAAAAAGTTTCCAAAAATCCAACCATCAAATGTTAGATACTCAGCAAAATTTTGTTTTCTCATTTCCACAGACTAATTTCTATGTGCCAATCTTATCCATCCATATATTCTTATAGAAGCATGTGCTACTGCAAATACTACTTGTAAACCAATAAACCACCACTGATCTGAAACATATGTGCTTGCAAACGCACTTCCGCCCCCAGTAACAAGACTAGCCACCATGCATAGCTTGTGTTGAGAGCTTGTGATAACTCCAAGGACAACTAAAACAATAGTAATTTAGTTGGTAAGCAGTTGTATTTTTAAAATTTAAATGTAGCTCACCTCCAAGCACATAGCCAGCGTATATATATACGGAGTCAAACAAGGGAGTTACCAATATCTGATTACAGAGTATTTTGGTCCAATATTTGCAGGAGCGAAATAATAAGAATAAATGCCCCAAGGTGTAGCGCGTTACAGTTCTTTTGACAGTGAGAAAAACCATATGGGCAATGCCACTTTGGAGGATAAAACGTGATAACAATGGTATATATGTAAAAGAGAAGTTCCCACAATGAAATAGCTGAAAGTATGAAATACCAGTCCATGGAAAACCTTACGAACCATATTCTGTTTAGCTGTGTAATATACAAGCATATTCTGCTGGTTTAAAGGCGCTAAACATCACGTTGCCGTGATTTCTCCCTTTGCTCGCAGCGGCGGCAGCAGCCTTGGACGATCGCAGCAGCGGAACAGCTGCTCGATCTTTTCCATGGCGAGCTCGTCCAACTCCGCTATCGTGAAGCACTGCTGCTGCTGCTTTCCATCAATGCGGTTGGATTTGAGCAGCGCGGCGCCATACCTGCAAGAAGAAAATCGTCGATCGGATGAAATCCGAAAGAGAAAAGAAAAGAGATTGCTGCTTTCTATCGAGCAAACGAAAAATCAGAGGAAACAAGAGTTCTAAAGAATTTTGATCACGAAATAACACCCTAATCTTTTATTGAAAACCTAGAATCACCGATGTTTTAAACCATCTTGGCACAAGCTTCGAAGAAACAAATAAAAGAAAAAAAATTTGCATAACTTCGGAGTACTGTGCTTGATGCCGCACTGGATTCGGTGAGCGATCCCATGCTGAGTGGTGCCGACTCTGAGGTGCAAGGAATCGTTGAGGTAGAACAACGTCGACTGTTCTCTGTCCAGAACGTAGTGAAAGATGGCCTTGAGAGCTTTTCCCAAGTTCTTTTCCGCAAGAGTATTACTGTGATACCAAATCAAAGAAAAGAAATCAATCCACGCATGAGCTCCATCTCTAGGGAAAAAACAAACAATCAAAAAAGAGAAAACTCCAATCTGCATGAAAAGGCCAGTGCAGAGAAACTCACGGTTTGCCCCACCCCAAAAACATCATGCAGCTAAACAGAAATGAATTCACGGAGAAAACTTACGGGGAAACATTCACACATCATGAGAGAAATTGATGCCCAGACGAATCGCCTTGTGAACAAATTCCACCGCCCGACAGCGGCCAGTTTAGGATATATTATTATTTTCAAGTGTCAACATTAGTTACTTGTCTGCTACTTATCATCCTTCTAACTAATACAACCATTTCCACCACTAATAGGACGGCAAGAAGAAAGTCCATAATAGAAACCATCCTATTTCCCCACCTCCAATCAGAATATATGTGGTCACATATGGGGTCGATCAGAGGAAACAAAATCTGAAATCCAAGTGAAATATGTAAGAAAGCCAGCAGACCCCCTTCATTACCATTCCTGATTTCTTCATCTATCACCCTATATTCTATGATCCATCTTTTCAATCCATATATTCCTGTAGAAGCATGTGCTACTGCAGATACTACTTGTAAACCAAAAAACCACCACCGATCTGAAACATATGTGCTTGCAAACGCACTTGCGCCCCCAATGACAAGACTAGCCACCATGCATAGCTTGTGTTGAGAGCCTGTGATAACTCCAATGACAACTAAAACAATAATAAGTTAATTGGTAAGCAGTTGTATTTCTAGAGCTCACCTCCAAGCACATAGCCAAGTAATAGGAGTGTATATATAAACGGAATCAAACAAGGGAATTGCCAATATCGGATAACAGAGTATTTTGTTCCAATATTTACATGACCATATAATGTAGACAAAGAGCCCCAATGGTAACTTGGGTGTAGCGCATTACAGCTCTTTTGACAGTGAGAAACACCATGTGGGCAATGCCACTCTGGATAATCAAACGTGATAATAATGGTGCATATGTAAAATAGAAGTTCCCAAAAGGAAATAGTTGCAAGTATAAAATACCACCACTTGTACGAGAATTCCATGAGAAACCTTATGAACCCTAATTTTTTTCTTAGCTTTAAAATCTATTTAAGCAAAAGGAAAGGGAATCTTAACTTCATTTAATATACAAGCATATTCTGCTGTTTTAAAACCTTCTCTTGGCGACGCCAGGCGAAGAGATGCTCCCTTTGCTCGCAGACCCAAGTTCTTCCCCATCTCATTTGCAACTAACCTCGGATTGCAGCTGCTGGTTCCTCTCAGATCGAGATGGGAAGCACCAAGCTGAGGATTGGATCCACAATCTTCGGACCTCGAGAGTACCCAGCAAAGAAATAGAAATGGAGACAATACACTAAAGATCGTCAAGAACAAGAACATGAGGAAATTCGCTGTACAGAATCCTTGTCAAAGGATCGGAATTTATGCTTTTGGAGAACTTCTCTTAGTCAAGATCACGAAAATTTGTCCATATCCGAAAGCGCTATAAACTTCCCCTGACACGAAAGTAACATTATTATAAACTAGATCTCCGGGAGTTTTTCCCCGGGATCTCTCTTTTCCTCCCCCTTCAATCACTGACACCACTACGTACAAGGATAAGACTTTGCTTGGCCCTGGATTGGAGCTTTATTTGTTCTAGCAGCGAGGATTGGGAAGCGCTCCATGGTCGCAATTGGAAGCCGGCATCCAGTGATACTTGGTCTTGAATCCATTCCCAGCGCGCTCCATCACTGGGTCTCGCACCCACTGATCGATCGTGAAGATCTCGCGGCTCACGCACTTGTTGCTCCCGGATTGCCTCACCGAGACGTTGAGGCCCTTGACGTACCACGAGGAGCTCGGGTACTTGCCGTTCTGGGTCACCTCCACCTTGCAGATCCGGCCGATGCAAGCGTTGGTGGCCACGAATCGATCCACGGCATTGCGCTCGAAGTTGTTCCCGGGGCGCTGGAGCTGGAAGTTGAGGGACTGATCGGCGGAGTTGGCCAGGCGGAGGAAGACGTCGGCGTCGGTGCCCGCGCCTTCGCGATCGCCAGTGGAAACTTCCACCATGTATGTGCATTGCCCCTGAAACAGAGAAGCGAACAATCAAGATCACAGGAAGTCTCTTGGATCTCCAAAGAAATCATCAAGAAGAAGAAAAAGAAGAAGAAGAAGAAGCACTGGAGGAGGAGAAACAGAGACGCGAACAATCAAGATCACAGTGGATCTCCAAAGAAATCATCAAGAAGAAGAAGAAGAAAGAAGCACTGGAGGAGGAAGAAAAAGAAGGGGAAGAAGAGGAAGAAGAGGAAGAAGAAGAACTAGAAGAAGAAAAATAAAAGAAGTTTTGGGTTCTTACATTGGTACGCGGTATGATCGTTGTGATCGCGATCAAGAACAACACAAGCCTCATTCTTTCAAGAAACTTGGAGAAACAATTGAAAGCGTCCAAGCAAGCAAACTTGGAGGAAGAATGTGGCTATAATTTCTCGCGAACAAGTTATAGGAGAGCTTTTTCGCGCATTAAATTTGCAGCTTTATGTACCCATGTGATGGGGCATGTGGTTTCTGGTCACCGCACATGTAAGTTTCTCAAGAACCCTAAAAGCAGAGCAAATTCTAAATCCCTAAAACAGAGCACTCACTCTACATTTTCAATCGAAGACTGGAATGCATGTTGGGTTGCAAGGAAATGCGCAATCAATTACCAGTTGTGGTGGATCGCGATCAAAGTACCAATCTCCTACTGTTTGCGACACTGACTGCATCAACACCAGCTTTAGTTTTAGATTGTTCCTTCTTTTTTCTACCTTTCCATTGACTTGGATATTGTTCCATTTGTCGTCCCCACGGGCGTGGCAGTGCGTGAAGCACGAGTCGAAGAAAACTCCCAGCGAGCTCTTGTAGTTCCAGTCTGACGCTGAAAGAGCGCCGATCATGCTCGTCCGGAATTCCTGGAGTTTTTTCACCGCCGGGCATGACGGCGAGTTCATACAGGAGAGGTATTGATCCCTTGGGATCTTTTTCGCGTGCTCTAGCTGCATTCACACAGGCAATTTATATTCAAACGAGTGATCAGTGATCATTCGATCGGAACTTACTTGCCAGTAATCGTATGCGGCGTTTAGCAGGAAAAGTGGAGGCTGGACAAACGCTTTCATTGTTTGTGGGAAGAAGCACTGGCATGATCGATCACAGTTCAGAAATTTGCAATTTGCTGACAACAAAAATGGAAATCTTACCTCAGTGGCAGCTCTAGAAGAAACACAAGAGGAATCCAGTGTCTTTTCTAGCTGGTGCAGTTTCACCACACTGTTGTAAAAGCTAGACATTGAGTAGTTACCACTGATGTCTGATCTGCAAGAACAGGATTTAGTAGAAATCTCAACATTAGCATACGTTGTCTTACACATTAAGGAAGAATCCACCGTCACTGAGGCATTTGAGCTTGATTCGGGGAAGAAAGCTTTGCAACTCATTGCAACGATGCACTGTGGCTAATCCTCCAGCTGAGCAGCCCGACAGAAGAACCTAAATATCATGGTAAAATTGTTCACGAGTAACACCAAACTTTAAGCATACCTGGGTGGCGTCGCTCAATCCCATGGATTTGAGCTCATCAATTACAGCTTTGAAAATCCTTTTGCCTCGAAAATACAAAACCTGCTAAAAAAAGAGAACTTTTATCATTTCTTTTGTGATATATCTTCATACCTGACCGGAGGGTAGAGTGAGGGGCTCAGCTACATCGGCACTGAAAGAAGCTCCATCGCAGTACCTCACAAAAACATGGGTCCAGTTGTGGAAGTCGGTGTTGACTTTGGGGTCGGAGCTGAGCTGACCACTAAACGCTGCAAAGCCTTGCATGTTGACCGAGCTCCCCAGAGCAGTTCCAGCTCTAGCAGCACAAGATTGCTCGGACTCACACCACCCTCCACCCTGAAAATCACAACCATAACTTCACATGGTAAGTAGTCGATCTTATACCTCCAGACTAATGAGCCAGTTTGCTCCTCCTGGCGCAATATGGTAAGCTGGGACGCTTCCATCCAAGCAGACTTGTAAATCACAGCCAAATGTTACAAACTCCCGGGTTTAAACTTTGGCACTACATACAACAAAACTCACCTGCGCCCAATGACTTTGCCTTTGAGAGGTAAGTTATCTCCACAAGAACACCGTCAAGTTGCGTGGGGCTGACCTGAGATGGAGCCCCAAATACAACGGCAAGGAATGCAAAGAGAAGAGAATTCATACCCAAAGAAGATGGATCTATGGGGAAACGAAAACAATGATATTATGAGTGAAACCTGTACTACGAACTGTAAGATCTACCCGTGATTTTTTGTCCTGTGGAGATATCACGCGTTTCCTGTTGGGGTCACGCATTGCCTGCAACGTCCTTGGCGATTCTATCAAAGAATGTGTCGAGAAAGACAGGCACTATCAAACAAGAAATGCTTTTCACGAAAATTCAAGCTTTAGTTTTGAATGTTTTAGTTCTTTGTGTGCAATTACTTGAATTACAAACATGAGAATCGTTAGCATCATTTTACGGAAAGAATTTGAAGTAAGCGCGAATCGAGAACGAATGTCATCGTGAAGTTACCAAGGTTGAGTGTTTGACTTGTAGAGTGTTAGTAACTTTTGCCTTATAAACTGCCCAGATCCTCTGAATTGTTTAACAGCGATGTCTTGCAATGCTCCATGCATTGTGTTTTTGTTCTTGGTATTCTGCAAGGTTCTCCATGAGTCTTGATGGCTTTTGAAGCAAACTGATCCTCTTAGTAGCTGGTTAGAAGAAGTTCCTCTGTGCAACTGGACAGGGATTTCATGCCATCCCAATCACCAGAATTATGTTCAAGGGATCAATCTCTACAATCTAAATCTGAGTGGTAACACCTCTTCTTGGCCAGCCATCCCCCCTTTTGCTGTTACTTTAGCGTCTCTATTTATCTTCCCTGGTACATAAGGATCTCAACGTGATGCAATCCTCCTCGAACCAATGCAACCAGGAGGTGATATATTAATCTCTCAAGCAACAGCTTTATGTCCAGCATTCCAAAGGAGCTTGAGAATTGCACGTTGCTTGAAGAGATTTCTCTTTCTCAAATTCTCTTACAGGAACTATTCCAGATATTTTCAATCGTTTAAAGCACCTGTCCATTCTCAGTCGTCTGTGGGGAAATCAGCTTGTTGGCAACATCCCATTGTCAATTGCAAACTCCTCAAAATTGGCGAAGCTGACAATGAACTTACAGGACACATCCCAAATAATCTGATGACTTGAGGCAATTGTTCCAGGCTGGTTATATTAGATGTTACTTTCAACCTCGTCTGGAAGCCTTCCTTTGGAGCTTGCAAGACTATCAAGGCTTCAACATGCTGGGTTTTTGACAATCAACTGCAAGGAAAACTCTGGAGTTCTAATCCTGTTCACTAATTCATTGTCCGGTCAAATCCCTTCAACTCTATTCCAGTGCACTTCCCTCATAGAAATTGATGTTTCACAGAATTCTCTCACAGGTCCAATCCCAGCTGATATCAGCAAACTTCAACACCTCCAAACATTTCTTACTCACCAAAATGAATCGCGTGGCAGCACTTTTGGCAACTTGTCCTCTCTTTTACAAACGGACATGGCCTTCAACCAGCTGAGTGGCACCATACCAACAGCAATTGGATCACTTTCACAGCTCCAGCGCTTATCTCTTGCATACAACAGGCTTTCTTGACCCATTCCTGAAGCTGCTTTCAAGCTGTGCAGGAATCTTGGCTTCCAGAGGCTCGACCGCAATGAGCTCGATCGATCCCGCAAGAGTTTGGGGAAATGACCAATCTCACGTATTTAATTCTCACGAAAAATCTCTTAACAGAGGAGATTCCACCCAACATAGGCACCCTTTTCAGGCTGCAGTTCTTATCAACTTGGAACCTTCTCACAGATTATGGTTCCAGAGGGATGAACATGGAGGGAGCTACCTGTTGATCTTGCGGCTGGCCCTACGCGTGAGATTCCACCATGGCTTGGAGGCTTCAACAAAGTTCAGTCCATTGTTCTTTCTTCCAATGCCTTCTCAGGGGAGATACCTGCTAGTTTGGGTGAATCAAGCTCATTAACTACGTTGACATTCTTGAAGTTAATGCTTCATACAACAACTTAATTCGCACATCTCATCATTTTGCAAAATTTGACAGCTCCATGTTTTTGGGGAACCCTTCGTTGTGTGGAGAGATACTTCATAGAAACTGTCCTTCACCCTCATCATCATCAAGCCAAATCTAAACTTCGCTGTAGTGGTTGTCATGATATTGATAATAGCATTGTGTGTTAAAACCTTTAAGCACAGTGATTATGATGGAGCAGCTTTGGTGGGAAACTTGAAAGCGCTAAGTTTTTAACAGGTAATGAACATGACAGATCTCTCTACTCGCAACTTTGGTTGAAATTTTCTTCAGAAGTGCATTTTCAACGGATATCAAACACTGAACATTACACCTATATACAAATGAATATCATGTTAGTGAGAATGTAAATGCCAAGCTTTTATTACGTACCAGTCATTGCGCTTGAGCCGGCTCTCAACAAGAGGCTTAGAAAGCTGGCCGTGTTGTAGTAAATGTGGATCTTTGATCATCTCTAACTTAATGGTGTGCCTAGTTCTTAGCACCTCGATCGAAGAAGCTGCTACAGCGCTCCAAGGAAGGACTCCGCCATTGGCTAGCTTGAGACAGCAAAATCAAAGGCCTTCCAAGTCATTAACAAGATCATACGGAAGGATGCCCTGAAACATACATCCCGGTGAGAGCTCAACATCAGGGATTTGTGACACCTTCTCATATACCAGAGTTTTCGGCCAGGCTCTGTTAACCATGCCCAGAAGATCATCAAATCAATG